ACCTTTTTTTGGTGCCAATTCAGTCTTAACCTTTTGCATTGGTGCCAATTTAGTTCTAAATTTTTTTTTTGTGCCAATTCAGTCCTAAATCTTTTTGTCTTTGTGCCAATTTAGTCATTCCGGCCAATTTTGGCCGAATTTTGCTGACGTGGACGCCGGCTAGGCATGGCCACGGGTCGATTTTGGCCTGATCAAACCCGGGCCTGGCCTGTTGATCAGGCCCGCGGTTCGGAACCGAAATCGGCCTGTGGCCTACGGGACCGGTTCCGGTTCCGGGCCCGGTTCCAAATTATTTAAAAATAATAATAATAATGAAATTTTAAAAAAAAAAAGTTCATTATTTAATTTTTTTTATAAAACAATTTGAACTCTAATTGCCATGCATTGTAAGTGCATTGATCTCTAATTACAATGCTTGACTTGGGTGTATTGAACTCTAATTACAAGGCTTAGCTTAGGTTTTATACACAATGATTCTAATGCCTCTTCGTTCCCATTTGATGTGGGACTCTCGGCTTGCCTTGAACACCTTCAATGTGAGACTCTTGGCTTGTCTTCATGCAAATGCCAAGAGTCTCACATCGAATGGGAATGAAGAGACCATCAAAGGGGTTGTGTATAAAACTCAAGCTAAGCCATGAGCATGTGAAGTTGTATGCCTTTTGTGGCTACAATCCTTTGCTAGTTAAGAGCAAAGGGTTCCATTGGACCTCCTAGAACCGGACCGAACCAATGGTCCAGTTCCTGGTTCTATGATTTGTCGGTCCGGTTCCTAGTTCTAAAATTAAGGGACCGGTCTTACCGGTTCAGTTCCCGGTTTCAAGCGGAACCGGACCGAACCGGGAACCAACCACTCTTACAATTTACATTTTGATTACAATTTATATTGAATAATTCATTATTTTCATAATTTTATAATTCATTATTTTTTTATTTCATAATTTATTTTTTTATTTTTAAATTACGAACCGGAACCGCTAGGGGTGGTTCCGGTTCCAGTTCACACATGGCCATGAACCGGAACCGGCCGGTTTCGAACCGTGGCCATGCCTAACGTCGGCTGGTCACCAGCGCTGACGTGGACAACTTTTAATAATATTTTAATAATTTTTTGAATATTTATTTATTCTTTTCTTTTTTCCCTCCCTCCTTCCTCCAGTCGGTCACTGGACCAGCGACTGACCAGAGGCCAGAGGTCGACCTCGCCGGCCACTGGCAAGGCTCACCCTCGATAGCAACGACGAAGGCGAGCCTTGCTAGATCCGGCGAGGTCGGGCCTTGCCCAGTCGCCGGCGAGGCTCGAGCCCTCGCCGGAGGCCGCGACGAAGGCCTCTGGCGAGGGCTCGAGCCTCGCCGGTGGCTGGGCAAGGCCCAACCTCGCCGAATCTGGCGAGGTCCAGCCATGGTGAGGTCGCGCCAGTGGTCGACAAGGACCTCACTGGCCTTTGGCCAGTCACCGGAGTTGGAGGAAGGAGGGAGAGGAGGGAAAAAAAAGAAAACAAATAAATAAAAATTCAAAAAATATTAAAATATTATTAAAAGTTGTTCACGTCAGCGCCAATGATCGGCCGACCGGCGTCCACGTCATCAAAATCCGGCCAAAATTGGCCGAAATGACTGAATTGGCACAAAGACAAAATAGTTTAAGACTGAATTGGCACAAATACAAAAGGTTTAAGACTGAATTGACACCAAAAAAAGGTTTAGCACTAAATTGGCACAAATGTAAAAGGTTTATGATTGAATTGGCACCAAAAAAAGGTTTAGGACTAAATTGGCATAAATGCAAAAGGTTTAGGACTTTTTTGGCACTTTTCCCATGAAAACTTAGTACTACTATTCCAACTAGGGGTGTCAAAAATACTTTATCCGAATGGAAAAGTTAAGGCCTTTTCAAGTTGATCGCCCTCTTCCTAGATCGGATGTTAGGTAAAAAGAAAAGGGCTCATCATAATAATTTAGGATCAAATAGGATCGTATACTTGAATCGAACTAAAACATATCAAACTAAAAACTCTCTCACTTCCGGAGTACACGAATCCCTCCCAGAGCATCTCCTTTCCTATTATCATTTGCACCTCAATCACCCATAATATGACTCTTGACTCTGTCCTTCTTGTCCGAAGCTCGATCGCAATCTTAGTCTCTCCTTTCGTCTCGCTATTGTTTCTCCAACCCTCACATAATATTATAGCCCCAATCCGTCTCCATTGCTCGTCCCCCATCCACAGCAACCTGAACGCATCTCTCTGTCTACTCGCACCCACCGGGTGCACTAGAGCCTTCCCTTATCGACAAAGACAAGAGGCGAGACGAGCCAGGATGTGAGGCTTGCCACCGGTGGACTCGACTCGACTCGACCCGACCTTGAATTTAAGCTGATCTTACGTCGATGACTCGGATCAAACTAGATCCGAGGTCAAAAGGGGAAGAGGAGAGAGATAGAGGTGCGACCGGGGGTATTTAGGTAGCTTGGTTCTTGTCACTGAGCTTAGAGTTGAGCCGCGGGGTTGCAGGCTACATTGGGGGCAAGGGACAATGACTACATCTTGACTAGAGCACGGTAGAGGACAGAGAAAGGGAGGAGAGAGAAAAGGGGGATGGTTTCGTAGAGTGGGTTATGTGAGAACACCACACACAAAAAAAGAGAGAGAGTATAATCCGAGCCTATCCGAACCGTGTTCTATGTAGCTCGTGTTGCGATAAGCCTACATTCGGATCGAGTCGTATCAATGGAAACCCAACCCAACTCGAACAATTGACATCCCTAACTAATATGTGGTTTCTCTTAATATTAGGAATGTGCAAAATGGACCACCTGAACCGAGAATCACTTGGACCAGATCAAACCGTCCGATTGGGTCCGATTCTCAGGAGTGTCGGTTCAGTTCCCGATTTCTAAAAGTGGAATCGATATTCAGGCAATCCGGTTTTCAATTTCAAGGGGAAACCAGACCGGACCAACTACGTATACTTTTTTTTTCCTTCAAAAAAATTAGTAAAATGTGAACTAAACTCTAAGTGAAGTACTTCAGTCCTCTCGACTTCTTGAGTCTCGTCCAGTTGCCACCGCAAGGGGGTAATACTTAACACCACCCATCAGAAAATAATGTGATATTCTAGACTTACCAGTGTACAACTAAACAAAGGGGTAATACTTAACACCAGTAAAATTGTTTTTAGCATTCCCTAAAAAACCTCCAACTTTACCCTTTGTTCCAATTATATCTTAAACTTTTTTTGTCTTGTAAAAACCTCAAACTTTTACTTTTGTCCCAAATCTACCCAATTCACTTTTCGTCCAATTTTTTAATGTTATTTTTCGAATTTTTTTATTTTTCTTTTCTTTTCTTTTTCCTTTCCTTTTCTTTTTTTTTTATTTCACCTTTGGGCGGTCGCGGACCGGCGGCACCAGGCTCGAGGCGGCAAGGCTCGGTCCCGCCGGCGTTAGGCGAGGCCGAGCCTTGCCGTGGGCAGCGAGCTCGGTCCGCCGGCGTTGGGCGAGGCCGACCTCGCCGATTCTTGCCGGGGTCGAGCCTCGCCCGGCCACGGCGAGGCTCGCGCCGTCGGCTATTGCGAGGTCGGCCTCGCCGGCGGCCGGGGCCAAGCCTCGCCGGCGGCCGGCGGGGCCGACCTCGCCCCCCGCCTGGCCGGCGTCGCCGTCCGGCGACAGGAAGTGAAACAAAAAAAAAGAAAGGAAAGGAAAAAGAAAAGAAAAAAAAAAATAAAAAATTTCGAAAAAAAAAAAATAATATTAAAAAATTGGACGAAAAAGTGAATTAGGTAGATTTGGACAAAAGTAAAAGTTTGAGGTTTTTTATAAGACAAAAAAAGTTTGGGATATAATTGGGATAAAGGGTAAAGTTGGGGGTTTTTAGGAACCATTGTTTTGATGGTTCTCTTCTTTTTTTTACTTCCATTATAGACGTTAGTAATACATGTGTAATCAGCGTGCTTTGATCAGTTTACATCGATTCGCCATTACATTGGCTCGAATTATCTCATGTCGGCATGGGGAATACAATTTCGGTTTCAAACATATGGCATCATGTAGTGAGAAAAAAAATGACCGATTCCATTGGATAGGGAATTGGATCGAACCGGGAACCGATCACCCCTGATTAATAAATTGGGTATTTTACAGGACACTTTTTTCATGTAGGTCAATACTTTCATTTTGAAGAGCAAACTTCAAAGACTTCAAAGCCTCGTGTTTGCCTTTGTGTTCCAAAAAGACTGTTTACAAGTAATCGATTGACTGAGGTACGCATGCCATCAGTTTTCATAAATTTAATCTTTTACGAGAAAAACTCAGTGCATCTCGAATTACGTATTACCCCTGTGATCAACTTAGGTGGACATATAAAAAAAAGATAGGTGCATTAGAATTTAGGAAGGCTTGACATCTCTAACTTATTTGACTGCACTTAGCTCTTTTTTTTTTTGAATATCTTTAATGGATTTAGATTGAATGAGTGACATACCTTCTTTGACCTCTTTATTTAATTTCTGTTGTATCGCCTATGGAGAGCAAACATATTCGAGATGCAAAATTAACCCTCAAATTGGAAAATCTTTATCCAAGATGGAACTTATGTGTAATTTAAGTTCTCTCTTTATCATATTCAGCTATTACACTAATTTCGATAAATATCGCTAAAATGAATTAAGATTTCGAATCGCGTAATTTCATTCAAATGATCACGGATTCTCGTTACGAGGACTCAAATATGATCTGACTCATTCATTTGACGACTATGACCACTAGCATAGATGATATTTCTGCAATCAATCACATGGCAAGCGTGTTACAATTGCGTTGATTTTAATTTAGATCTCGAAGTGTCGCAAATTCTCTTTATCGTCTAAAACTTTTTGATTTTTTCTTAAGTTTTATTTTTGGTGGTAGTGCTAGAATACCGAAACAGTGAGACTTGAAACCTCGGAAAACCGAAAAACTGTAAAAAAGGCTGGACAACAAGAATCAAAAGAAATTCAGCAATGTCTCCTCTGTCTCCTTGGAGAAACGCACCTCAACATCATCGCAATCAACTAATCATGCTGGTTCATCAAGTAGAGCGCGTTTGATCTTTGCTTTTCTGGTTCGAAATTCACTGTCATGTTCGGATTAATAAAAAAAAGACGACGACCCAAGAGATTCTGATCCAACGCAGTTTGATCAGAACAAACCAAGAACGATCCAACCCAAGTTCCCGTGCTCCTTGAGTTGGACTAATGCACCTCGTGGAATATAAAAAGGCCGAGAAATTGGTCGTCCACCTGGATTCCAAGTACATTCAGTATCCAGATGGGTAAGATTGTCGCCGATCTCGATCCTCACGGTTCTTGAATTTTATTAATTATTGCCAAGAAGCTGGGCGATGGTGGGCACACGACGCACTTGGCTTCTTGGCAATGGCAAGTAGACCCAAGATTTGCTCCAAAACCTTCCAGTGGCAGTAGTTCTTCTAGGGTTTGATTCTTGGACGAAGCAGTTCGATGGAGGCGGTGAACAAAGAGGAGAAAAGAACGGGGGAAGGATCAACTATGTCGTCGTCTCCTTCGCCGAATGGTGCTTCCTTCTCTTCACCACCTCCTGTGCCTCCGAACGATGAATCTTTGTTTTTACCTTCAACTGAGGCGACCCCCACCACCACCACCACCACGACCCCGACCGCGACCACGGCCGCCCCCGTTGGTGAAGACCCATCTCCATTTTCTTCATCCCCAGAAGCTCAAATCTCGTGGCCGCCGGATGGGAAGCTAACTCTCAATTGGGTCTTGGATTTGATGTCCAAATTCGATTGGGCATCAAGAAATCTCACTCCTTCAGAATTCCCAACTGTCCTGCCCGTCCAGGTGTTTGATCGCCTCGTCCTCACTGCCTCCAAGATTCTGCACAAAGAGCCTAACCTTGTGAGGGTCGATCTTGATGTCGATGACGAGCGTGACAAGGACTGTAGGGTGGTTGTTGTTGGTGATGTTCATGGGCAGCTTCACGATGTTTTGTTCCTGTTGAGGAGTGCTGGTTTTCCTTGTGAAAATCGGTTCTTTGTGTTTAACGGGGATTATGTGGACAGAGGGGCTTGGGGTTTGGAGACTTTCTTGCTCTTGTTGGCTTGGAAGGTGAGTTGTGATGCTGCGAATGCGTGTATCTCTTGATCTAGATGTCTGTCTTCAGCAATGGACAGCATATTCCTGTTGCATGCTTTATTGGCGTTTTTACTTCATCCATGCCCTGCTTTATGATTCGTGAGTACCTTACATGAGAAGAAAGATTTTATATGTCTCTGGACATCGATAATAGAGAATGGATTGATTTGAGCGAAATGTTTCAATGGAAATGCGTGTATCATATCCTTTATGTTTCCCTCTTCAGTAGTGGGACCTGAGTTTGAGCCTAATTTGGAATTTTACTTACATGAATCTTTGTAATGTAACTTGAGATGGCACCTCTGGAATGAGTTGTTTGATTATGCTAGTTCCTGGAGCTTCTCAACGAGATAGCCAACTGTCTGTTCAGTTCTTATATTTTTCCTATGTCGATATACATTTGTGATTCTTTTTGATTCTAAAATAGCTTAAGGCAAGGGATTTTCTTTTTCCGTGACCCATATTTCATAACTTGTTCTTTGGATCAATCTTTTTACAAAAACGGCAGTTTCAAATTCAAGTAGTTTCTTAGGCTACTTATGTCCCTTCTCTTTTTCATCTTTTCTACCATTGTACTGATATATCCTTTTGTGGGGAGTATGATTCTTCCTGGTATTTGTGTGAAGATTCTTGTTTGGTTTGTTTGATTTTTTTTTTCATCCGGAGGACAACATTCTTCTCACTTGAGTAATATGCCGTGTCAGGTTTTTATGCCAGAGAGAGTTTTTCTTCTCCGAGGGAACCATGAATCAAAATACTGTACTTCTGTTTATGGTTTTGAGCAAGAAGTTTTGGCGAAATATGGTGATAAAGGAAAGCATGTCTATAGGAAATGTCTGGGATGTTTCGAGGGGCTCCCTTTGGCGTCAATCATTGCAGGGCGTGTATATACAGCTCATGGAGGACTTTTCCGAAGTATACCCGTCACACCATCAAAGAGATCGAAGGGAAAAAAGAATCGCCGTATAAACTCAAATCCTGAAGTTAGTACTTTATCTCTTGGTTCCTTAGAAGAATTATCTAAAGCTAGGAGATCGGTTCTTGACCCTCCATGGGAAGGGTTGAATCTGATTCCAGGTGATGTGTTGTGGTCAGATCCATCAATGACTCCCGGTCTTTCTCCGAACACAGAGAGGGGCATTGGATTATTATGGGGTCCGGACTGCACAGAGGAGTTTTTGAAGCGATATCAACTAAAGGTGGTACCCCTGATGTTTTAAGTAATAAATATTGTATGCTTTCTATCAATAAATATGAGTGTTGTTTGGCCAAATCTTTCAAGTCTAGTTCAACATTTATTCTACGCTCTCTACTATATGGATGTTGTTTTCTTGATTTCCAGCTATTGTAATTTTACAATACTTTGCTGTTTGAGCGATAAGGACATGCCTTAGAACTTAGTGGCAGACCTTAACAGTGCCACCATCTTCTAGCTACCTGAGCACTGTTCTGTTTCACTGGAAACATATAAAGTAGGCTAATATTTGCACGAAATTTCTATGCCGAGCCGAGCCGAGCCATTCAGCTAGAGGGGGATGGTCATTTATTTACATGGCCATTGATTTTACATTGACATGTGAATTAGGCTTGAGGGGAAGGACGATGGTGTAATTCTCTGCTGGATTAATACGAACGTTTAAACAAAATCAAGTATGACGGTGCTTGACAGGACAAATGCGTCCTTTTTTTGAGTATCTATACCACCCTTGTTTGTTTAAGTTAGCTACTTGTTGCTATCAGAACAGGAGTAAGCATATTACTGGACATGGACTCCAGTTGCAGAAAGTTCATTTCTAGACTTTAACTATGACAATTATCTAATGAATGATGGAAACTCCGCTGCCAGTTCAGTACTTATGAGGTGCCATTGGAACTTGGTTGATGACAAATGGCTAAAAATCAACATTAATTTCTTCCATATCTCCTTGTTCTTTTTTGTTTTTCATATTCGGGTTTTACTTGAATCTCTGTCTGGAAACGAATGCGGTGTATCAATTAGTCATTGCTCTTTATCTGTTTTTCCATCTACTTAAATATAATTGAAGCCATATCTTGCAGAGGACTTTAAAGGCTGATTTTAGGTCTGTTGGCTGCTGTCTTTTCCCCAGTTAATTATTAGATCACATGAAGGACCTGATGCGAGGGAAAAGCGAAATGGTCTTGCAGGAATGGACGAGGGTTATACAATAGATCATGTTGTGGAGTCAGGGAGGCTAATTACGCTATTTAGTGCTCCAGATTATCCACAGTTTCAGGTACTTTTGGCCACTTCTGTTCTAGTTACTAGATCGATTGATATAGCACATACGTTCTTGCTCCAAGAAGATGCATGTTGGTTTGTCAAACCTGTGCATTCACTAGCTCAGAGAGATTGGATGTGACATCTTGTTGAAAAAAAGGGAAAGCTAGAGATGCAAATACACCTAGAGTATCATTGGATGTGTCAATAGAGAGTATAGAAGTTTCAAGGCGATTGCTTATGTTTCTGCTTAGATTTGAAATCCCTTTTCCAAATTAAAAGGCCTGTTCTCTTTACCCATCTTCCTGTGGAATATTTCCACTGATGTGGACAGTAACATATTGTAAGATCAAGTGCCATTGTTACACCTGTACCAGTTGTCATGGACAATGTTGTCTGATTTGCAGGCAACAGAGGAGAGATACAAGAACAAGGGGGCGTACATTACCTTGGAACCTCCTAATTTTGATAACCCTACTTTCGACAGTTTCGAAGCAGTTGCACCTAGGCCAAAGGTATTTTTATCACGCTTCACTTTAGCGGTGAGATTATAACTAGGCTTTGAATGTAATTGCACTTGTATTAGTCGTGCTGTTATTATCGTCGTGTGAAACTCTACTAATTACAAACCAAGTATTTTGTTGAGGAGAATTTGATGAACAATTGGTGCAGGCAAAACCATATTATGATTATCAGGATGTGATAGATTCCGACGAGGAATTGGATCTGACAGCAATGGTTTCTGAACCTTGAAGGATCCGGGAACCAGTTTCGTGAGTCTGAACTTCATCTAGCTGGAGTATGCTTCCTCGCGAATTTTTTCCTATGGAAGCTATAAAGAGCTCTCGTATATTTTGTGGGTCAAGCAGCTTCACGGGTGTAGAGTTATCATAGAGAATCGTCGTAGTGATTCTTTGTTGCGTTGATAATACGTATTTTCGGGGTTATTTATTTCCGATAATACAAATTTCAGAATTGCGTCGATAAATTACATATAACGGCTTTTGAAGACACAATAGTTGCTCCCTTACCTTTGTGTTTCCCCCTCTTGTGTCTGTGAGGAGCAATAAAGTGGAATACTTGCTGTTTGCTTTTAGTGCTTTCTTTTTGTTTCTCTGGTATATTCGAAGAGCATGACATCAGAAAGTCGAGCAGATTAATAGATGTGCTGATTCAGCTAAAAAGAATTCTCCGCGCTATAGTTTAGAAGCTTGTCTTGTATGGAGTGGGTTTGGTCACTGGATTCGCCGTCGTTGGGCATTTCTGTCTATTCCTATTCTGAAGTTTGCATCAGTTTTGGCAAAAGCAGTGGTACTGAGGCAGATGCACCTTTCATGGGCTGAAACTCCTTTGGTAGCTTGCTGCTCACTTGATTCATCATGTTCTGATTTTGGTTCGATTTGCCAATGTTCTTCGCCTGCTGCCCGGATTTGACTTGGTAGGGATACTAACCCGATCACTATATACTCTATTCCATAAGGCTGCGTTTGCTCATCCGGAATTGAATTGGGATATGATAGGATAGGATAACGTGGGATTATAAATTATAAAAAATCCTATCCCATGTTGGGTGCAATCCAACTTAGGATTCAAAATCTTTGAAAATCAGTTCCGTCTCCGTTTTCCTCTATCTGATCGGTGTCTCTCTCTCGCTGTCGCTTTCGCCAGTGAGCGGCCATATCTGTCCGAGTCTACCTCGCTGCTTTGAAGTAAAGGTATTGACTTTTTTCTTTTTCTTTCCAAAAATTTTCAAGCTTCGACTGAATTCAGTGAATTGTATGCTTCCAATTTACTTCCTGTATGTTCGTTGAATCTGAATCATGTCCAGCAGCTGTGCACGGCGTGCTTAAATTCTCTCTGTTGCATAATCAGAATGGAACACCTTAGATGTCACAAGGCTGAATAATTTGCAAAGCCTAAAACATTACAGAATACAGATGACTATGTTAATGGTTGGTTTTACAATTGGTCAATCACGTCTTTGTTCATTTACTCACAATGATGCATATGGGGTTTGTCATTGTTTCCCGTGGCTTTCGTGCCATCATCGGGGTGAGTTGATTGACGTATTCAATGGCAAGAAGCATCGGACTCTAATCGGGATCACGAAGTTGCCTGCCAGGATGGAGTTAAGCAACATAAGTTTTCTTGGCGACCGAAAGCGGGAAGAGGTCGTTGCCGGTGGGAGGAGCGGTGGCCATTGGAGTGTTTGATGATGGTGGTGCTAGGCAAACAAGAGGAAGGGTGAACGTTTGATTTTTTTTGTTAGATTTTCAAATTTCACGTATCTTATCTGGGTCTATCCCACCCCTTAGGTGGAATTTTTTTATCCGGACCATATTCGGGTTATATACCGTCATATCCGGATTTTGCATCACTCCAAACTCTAGTTAGGATAAAAGCTATCCTATCCGGAGTTTTATCCGGCCCACCAAATGCAACTCAAGTGGACGATCTTTTTTTACTTAGCCTGACTAGTAAAGTGAAATCGTTGTCCCACCACCGACGAACTAACTATAGCCTGTCGAGTTGCCCTCTCGATCCGCTCAAAATATGGTGTGCGCGGCCACTCTAAAATAGCAAATAGCAATGTGATAGAAGTTCGTGGGCTTGCTATGTTGATATAGTAGCGAGCACGGTTCATAATCGATCAAAGTGCAATCAAGGACTTTCGGGATTCCAGACGAGGCCATAGTCCGGGGGCTATATCCTTCCACCGCCGACCACCGACTCTTCCTATGGCTTCGCTAGACCTGTTAAATGGGTCTTAAAATTCATATATGACCCATTTAAAAAATAAATGGGTCAATACAATTTTGAAGAGCCCATCTTAAATGAATCTTAAAGTTTTAAGCTTATCATAAATGGGTTGAGTGTGGAACCCATTTCTAACCCACTCATTAAGTCCACCCCATTTTTATAAAAATATATATTTTTTAAAATTTATTTATTTTTATTTTTATTTTCTTTCTTTTTTCTTTTATTTTTTTTTCTCTTTCTCTTTTCGGTTGGTGGCTGGCCACGGTGACGGTCGGTGACCGGCGACTGGCCACAGGGGAGGAACAACCTCGCCACAGGTCGGCGAGGCCTAAGGCTCGACGGAATCGGGTGAGCTCGGCCTCGCAAGCCTGTGGCGAGGCTCTGGCCTCACTAATCTGACGAGACTCGAGGTCGCCGATCAGGCGAGGTCGAGCTCGCTTGAGGCCGGTGAGCTCAAGTCTCGCCACTGGCCGGCGAGGCCAAGCTCGCCGGATCGGTCGAGAGCTCGCCCGAGGCTGGCTCGGCTCGACTCGCTGGAATTGGGCGAGCTCGAGGCTTGCCTGAGGCCGGCGAGGCCTTGGCCTCGTCAGATCAGCGAGCTAGAGCTTTGCCGGCCTCCGACCGTCATTGTGGCTGGCCACCGGCCAAAAATAAAGGAAAAATTAAAAATTAAAAATAATTAAAAATTGGATTTTAAAAAAAATAAAAATATTAAAATTAAATAAAATAAAAATTAAAAATAATTAAAAATTGTATTGTATGAAAATGTTTTAGTAGTATAATTTTTAAAAATTGTCATAAGAAATAAATTTTACTATATTAAGTTAAATATAGATGTGTTTTAGCAATATGGATCGGATATGGGTTGGGTCGGGATATTTACATTACAAATAAATGGGTTAATGGGTCAATTTGATGACCCGATCCAAATCCGACCCGACCCACCCGTTTAACAGATCTAGGTTTCACCCGGTATAAACTGGATGAGGTGGCCCCTCGTAACCCCGTGAGGCCGTGACGTCCGCCGGGGGGGGGGGGGGGCTGCGGGTCTCGGCAGGTCGAATTTCGTTCTATCTGGGTAAAGAACAAGGGAGAGAGAGAGAACGAAACGAAGCATCACTGCGGGGGCAATCTTGGCGTGTTCCCACGAGCACCCATCCATCTCTGTCACAGTGTCACCTTCGTCCCCATCATTACAAGATTCAAAGGAAGCGAGTACAAAGGAAATTCACTGAAGAGACAGAAACAGAGCACGCGTGACCCCATCATGAAAAAGGCTCCAAAAGGCAAAACGCGTCTCTGCCGCCGATGTTAAGCAGCTTCCCGACCTCGGCCCACAGAAATGGGCACGCAAAACGACAAGGAACCCACCCACGCCCCCCCAAGTAACAAACGACGCCGCAGCTGCCGTTCAACTGTTGTCGCGCCGGTAGCTTCCCCCTCCCCTCCCCTCCTCTGCTTCACGCCAACGACCGAATGTCCAAAGTCTCATTCTGATCACCAACGCAGCAATTTCATTGCGTCCTACGCTAAGTAAAGATTCAGCTAATCAAGTTTCTTAGAATGCCAGCACCTACCTAACCACATCCCTTTGAATGGGTAGAGTGTCCAAGGAAAGCTTATTCCAAGCCATATGACATCCTCGAAAATCCAAGCCCTTTTCGTTTTTCGGGAAATCGTTAAGATTCCTTTTTTGCGCATCTGATCTAATCGACGGCATCGTTCTCGTTTACGTGCATTGTGCCACATGGTGGAATGTAATGAAAATGTTGGGCGCTATGAAATCACAATTCAATGGAGATTAGCTCTAGTTTTTCAATTCCAAAAGCTATGAAGTTCCTGTTGATCGTTAGAAATGCCTCCAGATGTGAACCAAGCAAGTACTTCTTTGGCAGGCATGTCGATAGGGGGTTGCAATGGTGCAGCTCTCCTTCTCAATTAAGAATGTACAGCTTCAGTACTTTTGTTGTTTCTTCCCCTTTCTCCCTTTCTCATTCGAATTGAGAATCCAATGATTTTACGGCCACGCAAGACAAAAACGTTATGTCCTCCCTGAGTGTCCTGAAAAGTTCCCAGATTTTGCATTCATGAATCTTGGCAAGGCAAAGCAAAGAAAAATTCCTCACGAAAAGATGGATGTCTTTACCGAGATCGACCCAACCTCCTTTTCTTTTTCGGTGTTCCGCCTATCATGCGCCTTCTCATCGCGACACGCCTCTTAACGAGAAGTTATTGGGTGAAGACATGTTGGTCCGAACCAATCATACCAAAAGGAAAAATTCAAAATTTATGACATTAAAATGTGCATCAGACCGGCTAATATGATAATATTTCAAGATGAACTTTATCAAGACATGGGTTGGAGGAGACGAAGCATGTGCCTTGGTACACGGAGTCATCTAGTACCGGGCAGTTACGAGGCTGTCGTGTGCACAGATATGAAAAAAAAAACGAGTATCACCTTGCCAAAATAGAGGAAGAACGGCCAAAATAGAGGAAGAGCGACCAAAATAGAAAAGCGAAAGAGGGGAAGAAAATCCTCAGGATTTGGAGAGGGTTGAAGCAACACGTCTTCTCTTCCACATCTACGTTTGATTTCTTCTTTCCTAAGTCTATCCTATCCTGTCTTCATCATCGCTGATGGACATATGTCCAAAATTTGTGTCTGCTATATGTCTATTATATATGTCTGCTTATGTTTTCACTCGTTAATTGTTGATAAGCTCTTGACGTAGAATGAGAGAGACGTAGAGGTAAATTCCACCTTTTCCTTTGGTTTTGATAATCAAAAACAGAGTAGGCCCACGTCAGATGTTGTTGCATTTGGAGTTTCAGAGCATATTTTTCCTTGTGAGCTTTACCTTTTGCTTAAGCTGATAAACTATAGGAGCCATCATTTCTTGCTCATGATGGAGCTAAATGACTAACGGTAATGAATGATAAGGCAAAAAGAGATTTCGTTTTTTTCCAGGTCTTGTTGCTCTGGCTAGTATGCAATTCAAAGTTTTCTTCTGGGATCTGAGACTAAGTTCTTTTCATGTTCTGACTTGCCAGCACTGATACTTTCCATTAATTCAGTTGGCAAAGCAGAACCGTTTTCCTCCCACATCTCTGTCCATAGTGAGAATCTTTTAGTGCGAGTCACTTTCACATATTCCTTTAATTTTGTGTTCCTGTTGCCCTTTTTTAATATTTATTATAAACTTGTCTGCTGAAGACAAATTAAACAATAAGCAGTTCTTTGTATGGTAAACGCATTTCGATGTTCACTTTATTTGGCCTCTTTCACAAAGGATGGCTTCTTATCTGATTCTTGTTGTTTGACAAAAAGTTGCATCATATTACAGCATATACACACACCTTCATTGCTCTCTGTACCGTGTAGGGGTCGCAAAGCATTGGACTTGGAGGTTGAAGGAGTTCTTTTCCAAAAAGAGATGGCGTTTTTAGATCTTTTGTTAATTGCTTCAATGCCAGTTTTGAAAGTGCTCCTTGTGACTGCACTGGGATTATGTCTTGCTCTCGAAAGTGTTGACATAATGGGGGAGAGCACAAGGAAGCAAATGAATAGAGTAAGTTAATCTCAAGCTCCTCTTTTGATGCTGATATTGTATTGCATCTTACAACAGTGAAATATTTGTTTCATCAGGTTGTATTTTTTGTGTTTAATCCGGCACTAGTTGGCAGCAACCTGGGCGGGACGGTTACTTCAGAGAACATTGTTCAATTGTGAGTTTCTTTCAGGATATTAGTCATGTTGCCCTTGTCTGTAATCATCTGTCATTGACGTGTCTCTGTTCATTTTTTGGTTCATTTTTTTCTTGTATCAGTAATATGCTGCTTCATCAGCCACATTAATTACTGAAGTAACTTATTCAAAATACATAGGTGGTTCATGCCAATCAATATCCTGATTACGTTTATCATTGGATCGGCACTTGGATGGATACTTTTAAAGGTCACTCGAGCACCACAGCATGTAAAAGGCCTTCTATTGGGTTGCTGCACCGCTGGTAAGATACTTTCAATATGTGAAAGGCCTTAATGTGCCATTACTTGTGATGGAATCAACGGTCATCCCTGTAATTTAATCAAATTTTCTTCACGCTGTAATGCCCTCAAATCTGCTTTATCATCGTTGTGTCTAATAACATGATGAAGAGTCAATTTTATCTCAGTTGAGTAACCAAGAAGGGGCAGAGGAACATTATGTATTCAATCCATCAATGACTGTCTCCACATTGTTGCATTGTTAGATGGTTCATGTGCGCAATCTGGGGATGGATGTGCTCATTTGTCCGAATCTACTAGATCTTTCATTGTGATCACTTTCTTTTCTTTTCTTTTCATTTTTATCTGAACAGGAAATTTGGGACATTTGCCTCTAATCATCATCCCAGCAGTATGCAAAGAGCAAGGCAGTCCGTTTGGAGCGCCTGATGTTTGCCATAAATACGGAATGGCTTATGCTTCGCTTTCTATGGCGGTATAGTCCGCAGATACTCCACCCGCAATTAACTCTTTTGCCTATAGCATTCTGTACTGCTATAGCTATGGCTAGCTTACAATGCATTTAACACCTAATTATATCTGAAGAATAAAGGACCTGGTTTTGTATTAAACAACTTCATGAATAAGTGGAATCGATGCTGTTCCTCTCCAGGTTCATGAATGTTAATGTGTTATTTCTATAGTATTAATGTAGAAACCATTGATGTGCTACTGCGTTCCAGTACGTTAGGTGTTCACATATGCATACGTGAGCAAGGAAATCATTAAATTTTCATTTAATCTTCTTCTTTCTCTTGAGAATAATGTATACTTCCATACTTCTTCTAGGCTAATCAATGAATGGTCTTCTGTATGTCAGATAGGGGCTGTGTACTTGTGGTCTTATGTTTTTAACATCGTGCGGATGTATGCAAGTAAAATAACTAGAGAAGAAGAGACGATAGACGAATCGGTGAAAGACACAGAATCTACAACAGATACGAAGAAGTTAATCCAAGAGTGCCCTGAAGCACTTGTTCCATCAACAAAGTGCTCCTCTATGGATGACTTGGATGAATTGACGCTTCCTTTGGTAAAACCTGAGGCAAAGAGCCAGGTAATTCAGACTGAATCTGAAATAATGTCTACTGGGATCTGTTGATCCTAACGGCAATACAATAAGTTAAAGTTTGTTTGTCTTGGGAGGCTATTACTTATCAGGGAATCTTATCAAGTCGATAGATTGAATGTTCTCAACCAATTGGCAGGTCTCAACTTGGGGCAAACTTAAGCAATGCTTAACAAAGATCTCAAAGAAGATCAATCTCCAGACATTGTTGACACCATCAACTATTGGAGCGGTAATCTCTGTCTCCTTTTTGTAGTCTACGGTTAAACTTCTTTTAACGATCGAAAGGGTGTATCTTCTTTTTCTGTAATTACTAGATATATTGAGGAGCTTGTCATCAAAATGGATTAATAGTATACATTCAGTGTGACCACTGATTTGAGAAATTTTGTCACTTGAGTATTGCATTTTGTTGTGAGTGAGATGTCTTGCTGATTCAATTTATCACCATGTCATAGATAGTCGGATTTATTGTGGGTGTGGTTCCACACATCAGAGGTTTACTGATTGGCACTGGCGCTCCTTTAAGGGTCATAGAAGACTCTGCTTCTTTACTGGGGTAATTGCTCTTGCTTCCAGCTAATCTTCTGTAGCTAGAAAGCCATGAAATGCTCCATATAAGTTGGCATAAGGATCGAGTTCATATTTTGTTAGCTTGGCATGTACTTTATTTCTATATTACCTTCTACACATGGTGTGATGATGTTTTGTTTAACTTCCACTTTCAAGAATTCTTTTCCCCTTGAATATCTCTTTTCCTTTGAGCCTATGAAAGTAAAGCTATCAAGGACATTGCTCTGTCGACTACAGTGGTTATCGTAAACTAAATTTGAGTTTTTATCCTGCTTTTCAACACATAATATCTTGGACTCTATTTGCTTGCAGATGTAACAAAGTCAGATTCTAATGTACTATTTGTCTTCTTCTCTTTCTTTCCCTGCTTTCTGGAACCAGTGAAACATTGGTCACTGGATACATCACCGTTTGATAATTTTCTCTTCCTGTTAGCTTAGCGATTGTTTGGTGTGCAAGAAGTGTAGCTTTTAGGCTTTCAATTTCACGTATGGTGGTAAGAGTTGCAGTTTGCAGAATATTCCTGTCACATCTTCTTCACTTGTTTAGCCCAAAATCTTGATTTTGACCTTGATTTGGATAGTTCTGCTCTATGCTAATACTTTCAAGTGGTAACTTTCTTAACTTAGGACATCGAAAGGTTTTCTTCAAGAGTGAATAAAATATATTTGGTCTAAGTTTCTGCGCCCTACTGATTGGCAGTTTAGTTGCTTATAATTGCGGGTACTCTCATCTCTTGCAGAAAGACACTAACTCGGATTCTGTCAATTATTTCTCGATTTAATTTTTCAGGGATGCGGCCATCCCTGCTGTTACCTTGATTATGGGAGGAAATCTTCTCAGAGGTACGATAATGTACAGGACTCGTTTGGATATCACTATTTTGGTTCTAAGCCATCAGTCATCAAGAGAAAGTGAAACTGAATTCTCTAGATAGGCATGGTTTTTGTTTCAAACCCGAAGAATGACACTTAAAAGTCTGGGTGGTGTTTCAGGAATAAAGGGTTCGGGCATTCAGCCATCTCTGATTGCCGGAGTTGTAGTGGTTCGTTACATCTTACTTCCTCTCTTCGGGATTGTTATCGTGAAAGGTGCACTGTACTTTGGTCTGGTGCATGAAGATCCATTGTATCTGTTTATTCTCCTTCTACAGTATGCCCTTCCTCCGGCAATGAACATAGGTATAGTCAGCTCGCAATTCTCAACGTGAAAATTGTCCAATTGTTTTGGTAGCGATCAGTTAGATCATTTATGGCATTTTGATCAGTTATATAAACTAACCCTTTGGCAGGCACGATGACCCAGTTGGTTGGAGTAGGAGAGAGCGAGTGTTCCGTTGTGATGCTGTGGACATACGCCTTGGCTTCGGTTGCACTAACAGTTTGGTCAACGTTCTTCATGTGGCTAGTAGCTTGACTTTCTTTGGCTAACTTTCTTTATGGACGATCTCCTCACTAATAATAGCTAGTTTCGTTTCCCGGGTGGATGCATATGTCCTCGTGTTCGAGATTGATTTTGTGACATACATGGAAAATAAGGTGTCACTGCTTTCGTGCATTGACCACAGCACTCGTCATAATTCTTTCCTGCCGGCAATTGTGCCTGGCCAAATTAATACCGCTGGAGAATTTTGGTTGTTCCCTGTTAGCAACAGCATTGGGATGTAATGGTTTTTATTCAGCTGATCAGCCTGATTTTGCGGTTTGACAGAAGCCTGATTGCACGAATATTGCTTGTTTATGATTTGAGTGAATAAGTAAATTACTCATTCCACATTTTAGGCACTAATTACATTCATGGTTCTTTAAAAAATAAGATGGTATGGTAGGACCTGAGTTTTCATATACATTAGCGTAAAAAAGCTCTCGTGCCATGACTAGGATTATGAGAAGTTGGTCAATATGAGCTGTGTCTGGTTCGAGCCAAGCATATCGTGTTCGCTTTGCCTTTAGATTTACGTACGTCTCGTGGATTTATCATACATTGGGCTGTTTTGGTGTGTACGAAATTGTCAGCATGCTGGGGGATTAATTAGTACGCAGTAAACTTGTTGAGTGCCCCAAGGGAATCTTCAGAGGAGGGAGCTCTTGCACAACCTATTTGAGGCCAAGTCAACTTTTGTAATTTCAAGTGATTGGATAATGTAGTCTGCATCATGGAAGGCAGGTCACTGTCGCCTCTGTGAAGCATAAGTTGGGTTTTGAACATTTGTCTGTGGAAAGTTGCTCTTCCTGTTCTCAATTAGATTAATTGCCTTGTCATTTAGGTTTTACGGGAAATTTAAAGGGGTTTGCTGAAAGACCTCATGGCTCATCAATTTCAGCACTATATCTTCAGTCATTGCTCTAATTGCCAAATTTGCATGATTTCTCTCTGATTGTGTGACTTATTAGACCGTGCGCATCAGAGCGCAGGATGACCAAGAGAGGAAGATTCAGAGGCTATTGTGTCACCCTGAATGCCCCGGACAAGTGAAATTTATAGGCCTAACTTGATGTCATTGTTGGAAGGAAGTAAAAGCCACAATTGTCCGTTAAAAGTAGAAAGCATTAAACTATGCATGAAGGACTTGAATCCTGCATAGTACCCACTCTAATCAATTGTGTAAGTTGTGTAAATAATGGAGTTTTGGGGTTTGAATCAAGTCTCTGTATTGACTTGCAAAACCATGATACAGTGAAAAGGAACAAGACTAACATCACTGTATGGAGACCCTTATTTGCCACTCTCAATAGGAATTGGGATGCTGAAAAGGGAAAATGATACAAACAGTCCATGAACTTTACATCAATGTGTAATGTGGTCCATAAACTTTTAATTTGTTTAATGTAGTTCCTAAACTTTAGCCTAATGTTTAATGTGATATTGAACAATTTCATATAGTTTAGCGACTAAATTGAACATGTACTAAAAGTTTAGGGACCCATTGAATAAATTAAAAGTTCAGAAATCATATTAAACATTAGGCTAAAGTTTAGGGACTACATTGAACATATTAAAAGTTCAAGGACCGAATTGCACATTGGGTCAAAATTCAGTGACCGTTTGTGTCATTATCCTCTCTGGAAAGTACAGTGAATCCAATTGCCCTCTCCTTAGGGCATTATTAGTCCTAATTGACTGAAACATATAAACAAGGTCTCCCATAAATCAAAACAAATTGAAGCTATGTTCAAAGAATTTTCAGCTCAAGATCGGTGTGGCCGACCTGTGCCTTATGCATTGCGAAGAGGTCCCTTGATGCTTCAATAAACTTGTTGTGCACCTCGTTGACCTGCCAAATGGATTCTGAGATCATAAATAGCAGTATGAACCACATGATAGGTGTTAAACTTTCGTTAGGTCATAACATTAAGACACTCTAGGCATCCAATTTTTGGAATTGTTCAGAAGAATCAGTGCAGAGCTCCATTCTTGTTTTGAGAATGTGAAGTAGAAGAAAAGCTGCAAAATATATTCAGAAGACAAAAACCGACAAAATTCCTATGTCTTCCATGGTGGATTTGGAGGTTTTCTTCAAATCACTTGGTCTACCGACCACCCCATGCATCCGATTTTGGAAGGGTAAAGAAGACCTATGAAGAGAAAACCATGAAAAACACTACTGGACGTGTGGGTGCATAACAGTTCTACCGTAGATGTGTGACTCATTGAACATCATTAATCCCACAATCTCATCTTCTTAATTCAGCAAATAGAGTCATACACATACCCAAAGATTCCCCAGAAGAAAACCGGGGTCAACTTGATTGCTCTAGAAAATTGCAAATTTTAACTTTCCACCCCCTGTAGACATTTGACTGTTGGAAGATAAGGACAAAACAGCTATGTGAGCTATAGTTTTTAAGTCAAACAAGCTGCATCAGACAACGAATTGTGGGCGAGGCCCGGTAAAAAGAGAGGAGAAAGGTGAAGACAGAAGTTATATGACCGAAGCAGAAAACTGGAACCAGGGAGCAGCCCATCTCCATGGCTATGCACACAAATCCTTCACTTGATTTAACAAATGCAATCTATAAAAGGAAAAGATTGTACATGCTAGAATTTCCATTTGGACTATTATAATAAAAGGACGATAAACGAAGTGTTTGCTGAATTCTGTTGTTTAATAAAGTACATTCAAAATATTCTTATATATCCGTTCTGTCTACGCTGGAGAAGGAAGCTGTTTGTGCAATTGAGGACTCGAGAACCGTTTATAAGTTCCCAACACAGAAAGGAGAAAGTGGAAACATGTAGCTGAAGTGGAGCTGATGGCTTACTGGATGTATGAATCCTCAATCCTATTCAATTTATCACTTCGTAAGCCCAGATCAAGAATTGATAACTACCCCTATATTCTTGTTAAAATATTTTTGAACCGTCCAAATTGAGCAACGAATATGTTTAGGGCGCAGCAGGGGGTGCAACTAAAGTATCCTTCAACTTCTCTAGCGACAACAGCTTTACTAAGCAAACGGTATGCAGCATACCAGGCAGTATACTGATGAATGCTATTTATCATGCCACTAAGTCAATCATCCTTGACCTCACTAAAAAGGTGTAGATCCAGCAGAACATATTGCTTGATAGGGTAAGCTGGATAGTGACAAGAAAAGATTGAGTTCAAAGAGTTAGACCTCGGGATCACGCTCCATGAGGAAGGTCTCTTGTACACCGCTGGGCACAATGTTACAACTTTAGCCAGCACCCAAGAGGGAAATGAAGTTTCTCTTAGTTGCTGGCCAGAGACCCAACCACGTCCATATATGTTTTCAGAAATGTAGTATAGAACAGGTACCGAGTTTTCTCTATGTTATAAGACAGAAGATCAAAGGCTCCAAAAAATGCATAAGGAGTGCAATGGCTGAGGGGAAAAATCTTACTGCGCTACTAGCAAAATTCCCCATGAAAAGATGGATGGCTTTACGAAGATCTGACTAGCGTCCTTTTCGTTTTCCGAATTCCGCCCATCTGTGCCTCGACCTTTTCTTAATCGCGAGATTTCTCGTGATGAAAAGTTAATGAGCACTGACATGTTGATCCGAACCAATGATACCATAAAGAAAAAATTCAAGATTCATGTCATTGTAACACGGTGCATTGAACAAGCTAAATGATAATTTTCCAAATGAAGTTTGTCAGACAAGGGCGGGAAGAGACGAGGCATATGTTTTGGTACGCACAGTCACCTGGTGTTGTGCATGCAAATAAAACAAGTGAACACTTATCACCCTGCAGAAGAAGAGGAAAGAAAGACCAGAAAAGAAAAAGAGAAGAAGAAAATCCTCAGGATTTGAAGAGGGTCGAAGCAACACGTTTATTCTTCCACATCGGCGTTTGATTTCTCGTTACATAAGTCTATTCTATTCTGTCTTCATTATTCGTGACGGAGACATGTCCATAATTGTTTCTGCTATATGTCATTGCTTACGGCACGTTCAGATTGATTGTCTTTTATATGTCCTTTTATAGTTAAAAGGAGTCGCAAAAGATTTTTCAAATCATAATAAAAGTTAATTTTTAAAATTATTTTTATGAACTTCCTGCTCTTAATTGTACATGTTATCTCTTGTTAAGTGTTGATTATCACGCGAACGTAGAATGAGACAGAATAGAGGTAAAACCATCTTCTGCTTTGGTTTTGATAATAAAAAACAGAGTAGGCCCACTTCGGATGTTGTTGCATATGGAGTTTCAGAGCATCTTCTTCCTTTTGAGATTATCTTCTGTTGAAGCTGATAAAAAGTAGAGGAGCCATTATCTCTTGCTCATGATGGAGCTAAGTAATATAAGTTATTGAATGATTAGACGAAAAGAGATTTTTTCTTCTGGGTCTTTGTTTTTGCTCTAGAAAGTATGCAATTCAAAGTTTTCTTCTGGGTTTTTTTATGGGATTGTCTTGCCGATGCTGATATTTCATATTAATTCAGTTGACAAAGCAGAACCTTTTTCTTCCATATCTTTGTCCATTTTTGAGAACCTTTAGTGTGAGTCACTTGCATATACTCTTTTGGTTTTGTGTTCAGGCTGTCATGCTTATATATTTAATATGAACTCATCCACTGAAGACAAGTTAAACCACGAGCGGTTCTTCGCACAGCAAAAATAGAAACCTGAAGATTTCTTTTTGGTCGGCCCTTTTTCAGCCTCTTTCACAGTAGATGGCTTCTGATCTGATTATTGTTGTTTGATGATAAGTTGGGTCATGTGACAGCATATACACCTTCTTTGCTCTCTGTTCTGTGCAAGAGTGGCGGAGCATTGAACTTGGATTCCTGAAGGAATTTTTTCCCAAGAAAAAAGATGGGATTTCTAGATCTTTTGATAATTGCTTCGATGCCAGTTTTGAAAACGCTCCTTGTGACTGCACTGGGATTATATCTTGCTCTTGAGAGTGTTGATGTAATGGGGGAGAGCGCAAGGAAGCAATTGAATAGAGTAAGTTAATCTCAAGCTCCTCCTTCGATGTTCATGTTGGATTGCAACTTACAACAATGAAGTAAATGTTTCATCAGGTTGGATATTTCGTGTTCAGTCCGGCACTAGTTGGCAGCACCCTGGCCAGGACAGTTACTTCGGAGAACACTGTCCAATTGTGAGTTTCTTTCAGGATATCAGTCATGTTACCCTTGTTTGCAATCACCTGTCATCGACATATCTATGTTTTTCGTAGTTCTTTTTCCTTTTTTCGGGTATTGGGACTGTGATGCTTCAGAATTCACCTTATCCCGCATTCATTATTGAAGTATTTGTCCAAAATGCATAGGTGGTTCATGCCAGTCAATATCCTGATTACGTTTATCATTGGATCTGCACTAGGGTGGATACTGGTGAAATTCACTCGGGCACCGCAGCATGTGAAAGGCCTTATATTGGGTTGCTGCGCAGCTGGTAAGATATCTTCAACATGTAAAAGGCCTTAATGTGCTATCACTAGTGATGGAATCAATGGATTTCACTGTAATTTAATTAAATTCTCATCACTCTGCAATGCCCTCAAATCTGCTTTATCATCGTCACGCCCAGTTACATGATGAGGAGTCAATTTTGCCTCAGTTGAGTCATAAAGATGGGTTAGTGGAACTTTGTCTTTTCGATCTGTCAGTGACCGTTTCCACACGCTTGCATCATTAGCTGGTTCATGTGCACAATCTGGGTGTGGATGTGCTTCTGTGTCTGAATTTACTAGATCTTTCATTGTAATCACTTTCTTTTCTTTTTTTCTTTTTGGTGTATCTAAACAGGAAATTTGGGACATTTGCCTCTGATTATCATCCCAGCACTATGCAAAGAGCAAGGCAGTCCATTTGGAGTGCCTGATGTTTGCCTTAAATATGGGATGGCTTATGCTTCAATTACTATGGCGGTATGCTCCGCAGATACACCACCTGCAATTAACTCTAACCAACCACAATTTTTTGCCCACAGCGTTCTATACTACTGTAGTTATGGCTAACTTACAAAGCATTTAACACCAATTATTTCTGAAGAATAAAGGATCTGGGTTTTGTATTAAACAACTTCATGAACAAGTGGAATTGATAACGTTCCTCTCAAGGTCCATGACTGTTAATGTCTCGTTTCTATAGTACTGATGAAGAAACCTGTGGTGTGCTACTGCATTCTAGTACGTAGCCTGTGCACATATGCATACGTGAGTCATGAACTCTTTGAATTTTATTTAAATCTTCTTTCTTTTCCCTTGAGAATGATGTGTACTTCAGGCATACTTCTGAGTTGATGAATGCATTGTCTTCCTACATGTCAGGTGGGAGCTGTTTACTTGTGGTCTTATGTTTTTAACATTGTACGGGTGTCCGCAAGTAATATAACAAGAGAAGAGGAGAAGATAGACGAATCGGTGAAAGATACAGAATCTACAACAGATACGAGTATGTTAGTCCAAGAGTGCCCTGAAGCACTTGTTCCATCAACCAAGTGCACCTCTACGGATGACTTGGATGAATTGACGCTTCCTTTGGTAAAGCCCGAGGGGAATAGCCAGGTAATTCAAACCGACTCTGAAATAATGTTAAGCCTATCGTAAAACGATATGTTAAACTTTGTTTGTCTTGAGAGCCATTCCTCATCAGGGGATCTTAACAAGTCGATAGATATAATGTTCTCAAGCGATTGAGGAAGTTGCAATTTAATCACTCTAAGATTTCCATGGCAGGTCTCAACTTGGGGCAAAATAAAGCAATGCTTAACAAAGATCTCAAAGAATATCGATCTCCAGACATTGTTGGTACCATCAACTATTGCAGCGGTAATCTCTGTCTCTGCTCTGCATTTGCTTTTTTGTCCCTTTTTCTATTCTATGGGTAAACTTACTCCGAATGATTGAAAGGGTGTATCTTTTTTTCCGGAATGCTAGAAATATTAAGGAGCTTGTCATCAAAATGGATGAATAGTATACAGTCAGTGTGACTACTGATTCGAGAAAATTTGTCACTTAAATATTTCATTTTGTTGTGAGAGAGATGTCTTGCTGATTTAATTTCTCACCGTGTCGTAGATTGTTGGATTTATTGTGGGTGTTGTTCCACGCATCAGAGGTTTACTGATTGGCACTGGCGCTCCCTTAAGGGTCATAGAAGACTCTGCTTCTTTACTGGGGTAATTGCTCTTGCTTCTAGCATTACTTACCGTAGCTAAAAACCCATGAAAAGCTCCAAACATGTCGGTACAAGTATCCAGTTCAATGTTTGGTTAGCTTGGCATGCAATTTATTTCTATGCTACCTCCTACACAGAATGTGATGATGTTTGATTTAGCATCCACTTTCTAGAGTTATTTTTTCCCCTTGAATATCTCTTTTCCTGTGAGTCTATGAAAGTAAAGCTATCGAGGACATCTCTCTATTGATTCTTACACACGCGGCTACCACAAACAAAGTTTGAGTTTTTATCCCGGTTTTCACCACATAATTATCCTGGACTATATTTTCTTGCAGATGTAACCAAGTCAGATTCGACTGTACTCTTCACTTTTCTTTATTTCCCAGCTTTCTGGAACCAGTGAACCATTGGTTACTTAATACATCACTATTGATAATTTCCTCTTCCTGTTAGCTTGGTGATTGTTTGGCGTGCAACAAGTGTAACCTTTAGGCTTTCAGTTTCATGTATGGCAGTATGGCTTGTAGTTGAACTTGTTTAACCCAAAACCTTGATTTTGACCTTCATTTCCGCAGTTCTGCATTATGCTAGTACTTTCAAGTGGTAACTTTCTTAATCGGGACATCGAAAGATTTTCTTCAAGAGTGAATAAAGTAGTTCCGGTCCAAGTTTCTGGGGCGACTGATTGGTGGTTTAGTTGCTTATGGTTGCAAGTACTCTCATCTCTTGCAGACACTTCCCTGATTCTGACACTGATTTTACAGGGATGCAGCCATCCCTGCTGTTACCTTGATTATGGGAGGAAATCTTCTCAGAGGTACGATAGCGTAAAAGACTCATTTCGATATTGCTTCTTTGGCTGTGAGCATCAGTAAGAGCAAGTAAAACTGAATTCCCTACATTGTCATGGTTCTTGTTTCAAACCCCAAGAATGGACACTTAAAAGTCTGGGCGGTGTTTCAGGATTGAGGGGTTCGGGCGTTCAGCTATCTCTGATTGCTGGAGTTGTAGCGGTTCGGTACATCTTACTTCCTCTCGTTGGGATTGTTATTGTGAAAGGCGCACTGTACTTTGGTCTGGTGCATAAAGATCCACTATATCTGTTCGTTCTCCTTCTACACTATGCCCTTCCTCCGGCGACAAACATAGGTATAGTCAGTTCGCAATTCTCAACCAGCAAATTGACCAATAGTTTTGGTTGCGATCAGGTGGATCATTTATGGCATTCGATCAGTGATACATAAACTTACTTTTTGGCAGGCACGATGACCCAGTTGTTTGGAGCAGGTGAGAGCGAGTGTTCTATTGTGATGCTGTGGACGTACGCCCTGGCTTCGGTTGCACTAACAGTTTGGTCAACCATCTTCATGTGGGTAGTAGCTTGACTTTCTTTCGGCTTAACTTTCTTCATGGAGGGTGGATGCATTTTTCCACGTGTTCGAGATTGATTCAGCGACAAATGTGGGAAATAGGGCGTCTCTGCTTTCGCGCATTGACCACAACACTCATCATCATTCTTTCTTGGCGGCAATTGTGCACGGCCAAGTTATACCGCCGGAGATTTGGTCGTTCCCTGTCGGCAAACAGCATTGGGATGTACTTTTATTCAGCTTATCAGCCTGATTTTGCATTTTGGCAGGAGTCTGCTTGCAGTGATAGTACTTGTTCACGATGTGAGTGAATAAGTACATTACTCATGCTACTTTCACCTCCACATCTTATTCCTTATATCTAGGCACTGGTTATATTCATGATTCTTTGAAATAAGGATGGTATGGTAGGACCTTAGTTTTCAACTACATTAGTGCAAAAAGCTTGCAACTGAACCAGCATTATGAAAAATTTGGTCAATATATGCTGCATATGTTACAAGCCAAGCTAATCGTGTTCTCTTCGCCTTAGATTGACATTCGTCTTGTAAATATATCATATGTTGGGTTTGGTGCGTAAAATATTGTCAGCATGCCGTAGGCTTAAATAGTAGGTAGTGAACTTGTTCTGAGTGCCCCCAAGGGAAGCTTCAAAGGAGGTAGCTTTTGGAAAATTCATTTGAGGCTTTTGTAATCTAAAGTGATGGATGATCTGCCTAATGGAAAGCAAGTCACTGTTGCCTCTGTGGAGCATAAGTTCGGTTTGGAACAACATCGTCTGTAGTTAGTTGCTCTTCCTGTTCTCCATTAGATTAATTGCTTTATCATTTAGCTTAATGGGAAATAAAGGGGTATGCTGAAAATTTTGTGGCCCTTCAATTTCAGCGCAATATCTTCCGTCACGACTGCACCTTAGAGTGCAGGGTGACTAAGAGAGGAAGATTCAGAGACTATTTGCGTCACCACCCCGATATGTTAGGGCCAACTAGATGTCAGTGTTGGAAGTATCTTGAGGAGCAAAAGCCACAACTGTGCTGAAGTAGAAAGCAGTAAACCATGCATGAACGACTCACATTCTGTACAGTACCCGTTGTAATTGATTGTGAAGGTTGTGTACAGAATGGATTTTTGGGGTGCCAATCAATTCTCTGCCTTTACTTCCAAAGCCACAAAATAGCGAGAAGGAACAAGGCTAACATCATTCTATGCAGACTCTAATTAGCCACCCTCAATGGGACATGGGATGCTGGAATGTACAGTGAATCCAATTGCCCTCTCTTTAGGGTTTTATTAGTCCTAACTGACTGAAACATATAAACAAGGTCTCCAGTAAATGAGAACGAATCGAAGCTATTTTCAAAGAATTTTCAGCTCAAGATCAGCGTGGCCGACCCTTGCCTTATGCCTTTCGAAGAGGTCTCTTAATGCTTCGACAAACTTGCCGTGCACCTCGTTGACCTGCCAAATGGAATTTGAGATCATAAATAGCAGTATAAACCGCATGGTAGGTGTCAACTTTTGTTAGGTCATGAAATTAAGACATTTTAAGCGTCCGATTTTTGGAATTGTTCAGAAGAATCAGTGCAGAGCTCCATTCTTGTTGTGTGTATGAGAAGTCAGGCAAAAGAAAAGCAGTAAATTATATTCAGGAGACGAAAACCCGACAAAATTTGTACCTCTTCCATGGTGGGTTTGGAGATTTTCTTCAACTCAATCGGTCTGCCGACCACCACATGCATCGGATTTTGGAAGGGTAAAGGAGACCTGTGAAAAGAAAAACATGTAAAACACTACTGGATGTGTGGGTGCATTACAGTTCTACTATAGACGTGTGACTCATCGAAAATCATCAACAATCCCACAATCTCATCTTCTTAATTCAGCAAAGAGTGTCATACATACCCAAAGATTCCCCAGAAGAAAACCGGCGTAAACTTAAGTGCTCTAGAAAATTGCAGATACAACTTTCCACCAGGCTTCCACCACTTGTAGACATTTGACTGTAGCAAGGTAAGGACAAAAAAGCTATGTAATCAAACAAGCTGCATCAGACAACGAATTGCGGGCATGGCCCAATAAAAAGAGCGGAGAAGAAAGTTGAAGACAAATTACTTGACCGTAGCAGAAAACTGGAACCAGGGGGCAGCCCATCTCCATGGCTATGCGCACAAATCCTTTTCTTGATTTAACAAATGCAATCTAAAGGAAAAGATTGCACATGTTAGAATTTCCATTTGGACTATTATTTATGAAAAAAAGGACGATAGACAAATCGTCTGCTGAATTCTGTTGTTTGATATAGTAGCTACAAAATATTTGCATTTATTCATTCTGTCTACGCTGAGAAGGAAGCTGTTTGTGCAATAGAGGACTCAAGAACAGTTTATAAGTTCCCAATACAGAAAGGAGAAAGTGGAAACATATGGTTGAAGTAGAGCTGACGGCTTATTGCATTTGTGAATCTTCAATCCTATTCCATTTATCACTGCATAAGCACATGTCAAGAATTGATAACTACCTCATATTCTTGTTATAATATATTTGAATAGTCAAAATTGAGAATGACTATGTATAGGGCGCAGCATGGGGTGCAACTAATGAATGCTATCTGTCACGCCCCAAAGTCAATCATCCTTGATCTCACTAAAAATTGGCAAAGAAGGTGTAAATTCAGCACGACATAGTGAGCTGAATTGTGACAAGAAAAGATGGAGTTCAAAGGGTTAGACCTCAGAATCATGCTCCATGAGGAAGGTCTCTTGTACACCGCCGGGCACAAGGATACAGCTGTATCCAGCACCCAAAAGGGAAATGAAGTTTCTCTTAGTTGCTGGCGTGAGACCCAACCACGTCCATATATGTCTCAGAAATGGAGTGTAGAACACCTAACGAGTTTTCTCAACTACGTTATTAGATAGAAGATCAAAGGCTCCATAATATGCATAAGGAGTGCAATGGCAAAGGGGAAATTTCTTACTGCGCTACTAGCAAGCACTTTTATTTTTGGAAGAGGCATGAAACCAGTAAGATCAGCAAGCGCAACAACACCAATCGGAAGAACTGAATGTGGCTCATATCCAAAAACTGCACGCACAAATATTTGAATAATTAATTCCCGTATACGAGATGACAACATCTCAAAGGTTCTTAGGCTAATAAGAAGTCCAGAAGACGAAAAAGTTTGGCATCAGCAGCCTGCTCTTCATGGTTCATAGGCTAATCAGAAGTCCAGAAACGCAAAAAGTGGCATCATCAGCCTGCTCTTCAAATGAAGTTTTATCATATATTTGCATTGCAGATTAAATTATACATAAAGACCGATGAATCTGTCATATTTTCTCTTGCATCTCAATCAAGACCCACAGGACAGAACGATTTGATCCATAGGAATGCTACCGCAACTCAAAGGAATGCAAAAAACACGCAACAATCTTCCTGCGAAATGCCATGCCATCTTTTCGATGATTCATACTAGAACTATTGCAACTTAAACCACCAATTCTCATTCTTCCTCAATTAGATACGTCATGGCCAAGCCCTTATCATTGAAAGGCAACTTTAACTCTAGCAGAGTAAGTTCATCTGCCTACTTTATAAGCCCACACCGACTAACAACTATCCAGTAATTCAAATTGACCTTTAATTACCCTTAACATCAAATCTTTGGCATTGATATCATAGTCATCAAACCTTTTCATCCCAACCTATTTCATTAAATCTACTGGAAGAACAAGAACAATGTGAGGGACTGACCATAGGCGCGATTAGGATCAAAGGCTTCTATATGCTCCACGTGCAGAGTAACAGGGAAATAACTGCAAGCATGTTTACATATGTACCTGAAGACCAAACCCACCATATCCGCAAATCAATCACATTCTACACAACTCATACCAAATTACTCAGAAAATCAGTTCATAAGCTTTGAAAAAAAGACCAAAAGGAGAGGAAAAAGAGATAAGAAGCTAAGAGCACCTCGACAACTTCCTGCCTAATCTGCTTCTATCATCAGTTGGAAGGAACATAAATACCACGAGCAACCCAAAGACCCTGATCAGTCAAAAAAACCGAACAGCTATTAACGATGCACAAGCAAAACTTATGACCCCAAAAGGCAAAAACAAAACAAGAGAGCTCACGGAAGGGCCTTGGAGGGAGAAAGGAAGAGGAGAGAGAAGACGACCAGGACGGCGACGAAGTGAATAGCACCCAACCAAATCCCTAAAGCCACTATAGCGTGCCATATATTGGACGATGGAAACTCCTCTCTACCATTGAACACCCTCAGCTTCTCAAGACGATCTTCATCAATCTTGCTCTCCTCACCCATCACCCCCGAACAAAAATCAACCAGTACCCACCAAAAAAGTCGCAACTTTTTCCGCTGTTCTATTATCTGCAACTGGGGATTCTCAGAATTTCGACCCAGAAAGAGGAAAGGTTCCAAGAATGAGTTCTTTCTGCCTTTTCACAAGAAAGGACGAATTATGAATTTCACCATCACCAGCACCCTTTTCTTGAAAAAGCCTATGGTTTTTCTGGGGTGTCCCACCTCCACACTCTACTGGAAGTCTCACTCTCTCTCTCTCTCTCTCTCTCTCTCTCTCACGTGGTCACGTTGCACAGAATGCAGGTGGCAGATTGCCCCGAAAACAATTCAAAAGAATCAATTGTTTAAAACGGGGATGATAGCTTGATAACTGGGCAAATCTGAGGAACCAATGCCAGCTTCTTGCATGCGTACGTGAGTTTGAGTCTGCTACTCAACCGGACGCCTTAAAAATCGAAGCTTTTGGCGATGTTCGTCAACGTTTTTGTCTGTGAAGGGACGCGTGGCTGCGATAATGTCGTTGTGGTTGCGGGGTTGGAGACCGACCAAGGCTTGTATCCGACAGTTGCCACTAAAAGCCTTCCTATTTAAAAACAAAAAAAGAATTTTCATCCATTACCAACTAATGTCAACATAAATCCCTCCAAAACTTTGGAGGTAATATACATTTGCCCTCAAAATTTCAATCTCTAAGTTTTTATTTTATGTCGGCCGTTAACTCTTTGTTATTTTTTTCGTTAGTATATGCATTGCACACGATTTTTTAAGGGGCTAATTGCAAAAATAAATAAATATAAACTTCAGTTTGAGTAACAATTCTAGCCCAAAATTTTTTTTGTCTCAATAAAAAGCACAAAATTTTACTCGAGTTTCAAATTTGGCCCCCATGTAATGTGAAATTTTCAAATTATTCGGGCCAGATTTGGGATTTAAGTGAAAGTTTGTGATTTTTTATGAGACAAAAAAAGTTCCGGCCAGAATTGTTGCTCAATGTAAATTTGCTATTTTTTTTTGGAATTAGGCCATTTTTTAAGGGGTAATAGTGTGTTTTTTTCTCTCTTTTATCCTTTAATTGCTTAAAAAATATATAAATTAAAAATATGATGAAGCTAAATTAACTAAATACTGGAAATAGAAAAAATAAGTATCAATAATAATATTTAGCAAAAAAAAAATTCTAAAATTCGATAAACACGGCCACTTTCGTAGAACTAAATAAGAGATTTTAAAAAAAGAATAAACATGAATTGATTAGCCATCGTGTATTTTAAAATTGTTTCAGTGATGGAAAAAAAGATCTGATTAATGTTAAAAGGAATTAACGTCATCAACTCATAAAAACATAATTACCCACAATATAAGGTGATCTTTGAAAATATTTCTTTTATATTGAGCAATCAATTCTTAATTATCGGGTATCCAGTTTTCATAATTAAAATTATAACTATGGAGTGTTATTTAGCTAGCAAAAGAATTGCAATTTTCAATGTACTTACTTTTATAATTAATGGTTGGAGTACATAATAAATCATTATAAAGTATGTTTTCAAGATTTTTGGTGTACGTATAATTTTCCAATGTAGAGAATTTTGTTTATAAGCGAATACCAAATCTTTCGAGGGCAAAAGAAAGCAAGTGTCGGGTCTATGAAAGTTCTCCCTCGTTTCATTCGACCGCGTAAAATACGAGTTAAGATTATGGATAAATAAACCATCAAAAATTTCAAATTGTGAGTAAGTCTGCGCATAATTCGTCTTACAAAGCCAGGTCAACATCAGTACTCACAACTGAATACATGATTGATGATGATGGATCATCCATTTTGCATAACATGGCTGTGCTCTTGCCACCCTCGAATTGGGCGTATTCAGTAGCCCTCTTTAGACTCCTAATCGATTGAGACATATGAACACAGGCCGCCTCCAGTTAAATGACAACGAATCGAAGCTATGTTCAGAGAATTTTCAGCTCAAGATCAGCGTGGCCGACCCGTGCCTTATGCCTTTCGAAGAGGTCTCTTAAGGCTTCGACAAACTCGCCGTGCGCCTCGTTGACCTGCCAAATGGATTTCGAGATCATTGATGACGGTATAAACCACATGGAAGGTATCAATATTTTGTCAGGTCACGACATTAAGACACGCTAGATTTTTGGAATTGTTCAGAAGAATCAGTGCTGAGCTCTAGTTCTTGTTGTGTGAATGTGAAGTCGGGTCAAAGAGAAGCTGCAAAGTATATTCAGAAGACTGGAAACCGAAAATCCGTACCTCTTCCATGGTGGGTTTAGAGGTTTTCTCAAACTCAATTGGTCTACCGACCACCACATGCATAGGATTTTGGAAGGGTAAAGGAGACCTGTGAAGAGGAAACCATGTAAAACACTACCGGATGTGTCGGTGCATTACAGTTCTACTGTAAGAAAATCCCACAATCTCATCTTCTTGATTCAGCAAAGAGAGTCATACATACCCAAAGATTCCCCAGAAGAGAATCAGGGGACACTTAATTGCTCTAGAAAATTGCAGATTCAACTTTCCACCAGGCTTCCACCACTTGTAGACATTTGACTGTAGCAAGATATGAACAAAATAGCTAAGTGAGCTTTAGTCTTCAAATCAAACAAGCGGCATCAGACATCGAATCGTGGGCATGGCCGGGTATGAAAGAGCAGAGAAGAAAGGTGAAGACAGAAGTTACTTGACCGTAGCAGAAAACTGGAACCAGGGGGCAGCCCATCTCCATGGCTATGCGCACAAATCCTTTCCTTGATTGAACAAATGCAATCTACAAAAGGAAAAGATTGCACATGTTAGAATTTCCATTTGGACTTTTATTTACAAATAAAAGGACGATAAACAAATTGTTTGCTGGATTCTGTTGCTTGATATAGTAGATTCAAAATGTTTTCATTTATTTGTTCTTTATACACTTGAGAAGGAAGCTGTTGGTGCAATTGAGGACTCAAGAACCGTTTATAAGTTCACAATGCAGAAAGAAGAAAGTAGAAACGTATTGTTGAAGTAGAGCCGACGGCTTATTGCATTTGTGAATCCTCAGTCCTATTCCATTTATCACTGCATAAGCCCAAGTCAAGAATCGATGACTACCCGATATTCTTGCTAAAATATTATGAACCGTCAAAATTGAACTCTGAATATGTTTAGGGTGCAGCAGTGGGATGCGACTAAAGTATCCTTCAACTACTCCCGAGACAACAGCATACGAGGCAGTAAATCTAATGAATACTATTTATCATGCCACAAAGTCAATCATCCTAGATCTCACTAAAAATTGGGAAAGAAGGTGTAGATCCAGTGAAACATGTAGCCTCGTAGAGTGAGCGGAATTGTGACAAGAAAAGCTTGAGTTCAAAGAGTTAAGACCTCCGACTCATGCTCCATGAGGAGGGTCTCTTGTACACCACCCGGCACGATGATACAGCTGTAGCCAGCACCCAGGAGGGAAATGAAGTTTCTTTTAGCTACCGGCGTGAAACCGAACCACGTCCATATATGTCTGAGAAAGGGAGTGTAGAACACCTACCGAGTTTTCCCAACTATGTCAAAAGATAGAAAATCAAAGGCTCCATAAAAGGCATAAGGACTGCAATGGCAGTGGGGAAAAATCTTACTGCACTACTAGCAAGGATTTTTATTTTTGGGAGAGGCATGAAACCAGTAAGATCAGCAAGCGCAACAACACCAATCGGAATAACTGAATGCGGCTCATATCCAAAAACTGCACGCACATATATTTCAATAATTTATTCATATGTACGAGGAAAAAATCATCTCAAAGGTTCTTAGGCTAATAAGAAGTCCAGAAAAAGAAAAAATTTTGGCACCAGCAGCCTGCTCTTCACAGTTCACAGCCTAATCGGAAGTCCAGAAACATAAAAATGGCATCATCAGCCTGCTCCTCAAATAAAGTTTTATTGATATTTGCAATGCAGATTAAGATAAAGACTGACGAATCTATCATATTCTCTCTTGCATCTCAATCAAGACCCACAAGACGGAACAATTTGATCCACACTATCACAACTCGTAGGAATGCCATGAACACACAAGAATCTGACCCCAAGGTATTTAATGCCATCGTTTCATTGATTCAGACTGGAACTATCACAACTCAAACCACCAATCCTCATCTTTCCTCAGTTAGACGCGTCATGGCCAAGCCCCAATCACGGAAAAGTAACTTCAACTCTACCAGAGTAAGTTCATCTGCCTACTTTGCACGCCCGCACTGGCTAACAACTATCTATTAATTCACATTGACCTTTGATTACCCTTAACCTACATCTTTGGCATTGATACCATATTCATCAAACCTTTTCACCCCAACCTATTTCATTAAATCAACTGCAAGAACAATAAGAGTGCGATGGACTGACCATAGGCGCGATTAGGATCAAAGGCTTCTATATCCTCCACGTGCAGAGTCACTGGGAAGTAACTGCAAGCATGTTTACATATGTACCTGAAACCACCATCGGAGAATCAATCACATTCTACACTACTCATACCAAATTACTCAGAAAACCAATTCATAATCTTTGAAAACAAGACAAAATGGCGACGAAAGAGGGATAAGAAGCTAAATGTACCTTGACAACTTTCTGCCTATTCTGCTTCTACCATCAACTGGAATGAACATAAATACCACAAGCAACCCAAAGACCCTGATCAGTCAAATACCCAACAGCTATTAATGATCCACAAGCAAACTTGTTGACCCCAAAAGGCAAAAATAAAAACAAGTACTGTGGAGAAAAGATTGAAAAAGAGCAAAGAGCATTGAGAGCTCACAGAAGGGCTTTGGAGGGAGAGAGGAAGAGGAGAGAGAAGAGAACCACTACGGCGTCGAAGTGCATAGCACCCAACCAAATCCCTAAAGCCACTATAGTGTGCATAATATTGGACGATGGAAACTCCTCTCTACCATTGAACACTCTCAGCTTCTTCAGGTGATCTTCGATAATCTTGCCCGCCTCACCCATCACTCCCAAAACCAACCAAAACCCAGCAAAAAAAATCTCAAACTTTTTCCGCTTTTCTATTATCTGCAACTGTGCTGCATTGATCTGCTACTGAGGATTGTCAAATTTTAAGCCAAAAAGACAAACATCCCAAGAATGAGTCCTTTCTGCTTTTTTATTAGAAAGGACAAACCATCACTTTCACCACTCACCATCACCGTCATCCTTTTCTTGGAAACACCAATGGTGTTTTGGGATTTCCCATCTCCATCCCCATTAAGTGGGTATGATAAGTTGGTAAACCTGGGGCAGACCCAGTTACTGCCATTTGCTTGCGCGTGACAATTTGAGTCTTGTGCTCATCTGGGAAGCCTCCAAAATCGAAGCTTTGGCCATGTTCATCAATGTCTTTTCCGTGAAGGGGACGCGTCTCTGCGATGATGTGATTGTGGGGCTGATGTGTCGTTCCAGACTGAGCAAGGCTGTATCTAAGAGCTGCCATTAATTGCTTTCAACTAACATGAAAAGAAGAAGATCAGACCAAAAAAAAGCATGAAAAAGCGAACTTTCATTAATTGCCAACTAACAACAATATCATTTTTCCGGGAATTAATCAAAACCCTCCAAGGTACTACTGATCTATTCGTCCTCCGAATTTTTTAATTTTGTTACGACCCTTAATTCTCTCATTTTCTTGCCAGTAACACTTGAGCGCTGATCAGAAACCCAGAAACACACAAATGGCATCATCAGTCTGCTCTTCAGATAAAGTTCTATCGTATTTTTGCACGACAAATTAAAAATTTTATATAAAGACTGATGAATCTATGATATTCTCTATTGCATCTCAATCGAGACCCACAAGACCAGGACAATTTGATCCACAGGTATGCTTGCTGTCACAACTCAAAGAAATGCAATGAACACACAAGAATCTGACCCCATGGTATGTATACCATGCCATCATTTCATTGATTCGTACTGGAACTACCACAACCTAAATCACCAGTCCTCATCAACCCTGGCCCTTATCATTGAGAAGCAACTTCAAATCTAGCAGAGTAAAGTTCATCTGCCTACTTTACATGCCCACAACGACAACAACTATCCATTAATTCAAATTGGCCTTTGATTAAACTTAACCTCCATATTCGGCATTGATACCATATTCATCGAACTTTCCCAATTAACCCCATTTCATTAAATCAGCTGGAAGAACAAGAAGAATGTGATCGACTGACCATAGGCGTGATTAGGATCGAAGGCTTCTATATCCTCCACGTGCAGAGTAACTGGGGAAATAACTGCTAGCATGTTTACATACGCACCTGAAGACCAAACCCACCATCAGAAGATCAATCACATTGTACGCAACTCGTACCAAATTACTCAGAAAAATCAATTCATGAGCTTTGAAAACAAGACCAAAAGGAGAGGAAAAAAGGGATACGAAGCTAAGAGTACCTTGACAATCTTGTGCCTATTCTGCTTCTATCATCAATTGGATTGAACATAACTGCCACAAGCAACCCAAAGACCCTGATCAGTCAAAAACCCAGCAGCTATAAATGATCCACAAGCATACTTACCGGCCCCAAAAGGCCAAAAATAAAACAACTACCGCGAAAAAAAAGGCAAAAGGACGCTATTAGTGTTATAACTTGTATACGGAGATCACTTTGGTGTCATAACTTTTTTTCGGATCACTTTGGTGCCAACTTTTTTGAAAAACGATCACTTTAGTGTCAATGCTGACATGGCTTGCCAGAAATCCTACGTGGCGCTGACATGGCTCGCCGAAGAGGTCCATGGCTCGCCGGAGAGGTCCAGTTAGCATTAAAAATAAAAAACGACACTGTTTAGTCCGCTGACGTGTACTTTTTTTAGAAAAATAAAATTTATATTATATTTAATAAAAAAAATCAAACATTGCAGCAGCGGCGAGGGCTCCCTCGCCGCTACTGCTGCCACCCCACCACCGCCGGGAAGGGCCGGCGGTGGTGGGGGGAGTGGTCGACGAGGGTCGTCGGCCCCTGGCCGGGGCCCGGCGACCCTCGCCGAGAGGAAGCGATCGCCGTTGCGACCCAGGCGATGGCGAGGTCGGCGTCGCCAGATCTGGCGAAGCTCGCCCCGCCGGCCACCCGGAGCTTCGAGGCCCCAGATCGCGAGGCCGACCCTCGCCGCACCGGGTCGCACCCGGCGACGGCGAGGTCTCGCCTCGCTTCGGCAAGACCTGGCGAGGCCGACCTCGCCGCTCGCCTCGACCCCGTCGCGACGGCGAGGTCGGCCTCACCTTGCCTGGCGAGGGGAGACCTCGCAGTCGCAACCCAAGCGACGGCGAGGTCGGCCTCGCCTTTGCTGGGCGAGCTCGCCCAGCTAGGGGCCGGCGGGGCGAGCTTCGCCAAAGGCCGGCGAGGTCGGCCTCGCCGGCCCTCCCCTCTGGCCGGTCGCCGGACCGGCAACCGGGAAAAAGTTAGGAAAAAAAAGATTAAAAAATTCAAAAAATTAAAAAAAAAACCACATAATTTCCACGTGTACAAATAAAATCAATTTTTTTAAATATAAATGCCACATCAGTTTTTTGGCCGAAGTGACTAAAGTGATTTATTTTCCTCCGATTTGGCACCAAAGTGATTCGAAAAAAAGTTATGGCACCAAAGTAATCTCCGTACACAAGTTATGGTAATTCTGGTGTCCTTTTGCCGCGAAAAAAAGATTGAATAAGAGCAAAGAGCACCCAACCATAGTGTACGGCGTCGAAGTGAATAGCACCCAACCACAGCGTACGATATAGTGGACGATGGGAACTCCTCTCTAGAATTGAACACTCTCAGCTTCTTCAGATGATCTTCATTAAAATCGCTCTCCTCACCCATCACTTCCAAAATCAACCAAAAACGCACTCCGAAAAATCCGAACTTTTTCCGCTTTTTCTATTTTCTGCAACTGTGATGAATTGATCTGCTACTGTGAATTTTCAGAATTTTAACCCAAAGAGAGAAACGTCCCAAGAATGAGTTCTTTCTGCTTTTTCACAAGAAAGGACAAATCACCATTTTCACCACCACCATCGCCATCACCATCACCATCACCAATTTCTTGGAAACACACCGATGGTCTTTTGGGATTTGCCACCTCCACACTCTAATTGAAGTCTCTCCCCGTGGTCACCTTACACAGGATGCAGGTGACAGATTCCCGAAAACAAACTAGACTCTGTTTAAATTGGGATAAGTTGATAACTGGGTGAATCAAAGATTCGAGCATTGAAAAAATCATTATAAAGTACGTTCAAACATTTGGCCTAAGTGTAACTTTTTTCAATGGAGAGAAATTTATTTCTAAGTAAATGCCAAATCTTTCGAGGGGAGATGAAAGTAGATGTTGAGTATTGGGTAAAATACGAGTTAAGATTAGGCTTAATTCCCAAAAAAAATTCCCAACTTTAGGTTGATTTTCAATTCTACCCCCAGACATTTTTTTTTCTTAAAGAAATCACAAACTTTCATTACAATCCAAAATCTGCCCCGTGTCCAAAAATTGCCACTGGTTTCTTCAAAATTATCAACATTAGGGCTAGTTAGAGCTTCATTATCAGAATCCGATTCTTCACCAACGCACTCACCTTTCGGCATCAATAATTTTGGAAAAACCCGTGCCGAATTTTTGACATAAGGCAGATTTGGGACCAGAGCAAAGTTGGCGATTTTCTTTTGACAAAAAAGTTAATGGTAAAATTGAGATTGAACCTAAAGTTGGGGTTTTTTTAGGAAATTAGGCAGTTAAGATTATGGATAAATGATGCAAAATATGAAATTATGAGTAATTCTGCGCATAATCTGTATTAGTAAGCCAAGTTAACATCAGTACTCACTTTTTGGTCCACCCTTCAATGAGGTTGATGCATATCTATTCCCTCACGTCTCTCTATCAAGAGCTATTAGCTATAATGCCTTTCCATGACCCACCTAACCATATGAAAGCATTCACACGATTATGTAAGCATCCAAAGAGTGATTTGAATGTTGTGCTGCAAAGTTTTAGGTCATGTGGATTTGACAAGATCAAAGGAAGAAAATTGCACCGTCACCATTTGATTTGTTCGTCTGTCTCTTCTATCTTGCTCACTAGGAATTCATACAAAGAAAAAAGGGGGCATAAATGGTTATTACAAATGCAGATTTAATCCAAACTAAATTACAAATGTCAAACTGTAGCCATGAGTTTGAAGAGCAAAAGGCAAAAGGAACTGCACTGTTCAAAAGTGCCCTTATTGAGTATGCCCAGGAAAAGAAGAATTGGGCATATGAATGGTTTGTTCAACTTTCAGAATTCAGAAGAGTTTGCCGAGAGAGAGAATCAACATCCCAGTCTAGACCACCACACAAAGCCATTTACTTCTCCTCAGCATTGACCGCCTCTTGCCTTTGTGGCTTCCTGCTGTTTTAGTCTTCTCAGCACATGCTTCTTCATCTGCACAGCCCTTTTCCTGAAATCAGTCAACGTTATTACCGAGCTGAGTCTTAGTATAATGTCAGAACTGCCGAGTCAAATTCATGAAGACATTGGACTAATGTTGCTATGGTATCTGCAGCTCACTTGTGTTGAGAGAGGATGTGGGTTCTCTCGTCCGTGTTCCCTCGAATCCGCACTCTCCGTTGCAGTCACGGCCAATTCCGAAGTGTGCTGATTGACATTTCCAGTTGTCGGGACAGCGGAATAGCTTGACTTTGAAATGATTCCGACTTCGATCTCTAGGCTCAACTATGACCAAAGAAAAGCTATGATCAGCTCTTAAAACAATATTAGCTTTTCCAAATCAGATTACTGCTAGGAAAAATAACTCAGGAGCCGGAATTAGGACATGAACTTAAAAGTCATTCATAGAACCTGTAAGACTCGGTCCTCGAGCATCGCCACTCGATCCATCAACGTCCCTCTGTGATGAGCTTCCTCCGGTGCAGATGATATGGTCTTGCAGTGATCTTGTTCTTTTGCTCTGATTTTCTCCGCGACCAAAGGATATCTTGCTGATAAGCTCTGCCTCTCCTCCAGAACCAGTAGCTATTCAATCAAGGCATTGTGCTTAGAAACTTAAAAAATCAGAGAGTAAAAGATTTTGCTATGACCTTCCATCAGTTCTACGAGTTCAATCATTTTCAATAATGATTAGAATGGCAAAAATATGGAGACAATATCTGTTCCTGTTACCAAATGGTCGAGGTGGTCTAGTCTTTGGAGCACGGATAAAGCCGGGGCGGGACTCTTCTCTCCTTCTTCCTCCTCCGTGAATTTTGTTTGCAGACTATTTTCAGATTCTTTGCGAGTTTGTTGTTCGGATGCTCGAGCCTCCATTCCCTTCTAAACATCTGCTTGAAATTATGTATCACGATGAAGTCACCAACTGCACGTCCAAGCACTCACCAGTCACAAACTTTTAGCTCACGGCTGACAAGGAGAGTCGTGGAGGTATGGACAATTTTCTATATACAAAATGCAGACTTTGAGGCAGTTTTAAATGAATTTCTTGTTGCAGGGAAATTAAATGATAACCACCTTACCATGCTTTCTTGAAACCATTTACACAAGTTCCCGATAAGGGTTTTTATTTTCCCTGTCATATCTCATCCAGAAAGTTTTATGCATTAGAATATTACAAGGGACTTCATTCAACCCAACCGTTTATCTCTTCTTTGTAGATAGTGCAGAAGAGTACAAGATGTAAATCACCTTTATTCTTTTACGAACTCGAACTTCTAGACGGTTTGGTTTTGTCTTAGAATCAAACTGGACTCATATTTGGGCTAGCTGTCTCTCATTCTTCATAGTAAAAATTAGCCAGTCAGCCACTCAAGAGATACGGGTCCAGAAAGAACTATTTTTGCCCTTTCCTTTAAGTGTGAAACCATACTGCTAAAACCTGTAAAAGAAGAAAACGGAATTGCAAATGCGTCATTTCGGTGCCATCAGGGTTCATCAGATACATCTTAAACTCTCGCCCCAGACCATTGGACGGCTAGTCAGCCTGGGGATGGATTGCTAAATGCTAAATTTGCTTATATTACTGCAAACCCACTTCAAGTTTCTCAGACAGTACCATCGAGTATGTCTGAAATTGTACGACGATAGCATGAAATTTGCACATAAGTATCATTTACAATTTAACATTCTGTGCCTTGCAAAACTGATTGGCAGAAACATGGCCTTTGGACCTATCTAGTCGCAACCATATTCCATCAAGAATCCTCATTCTACACAGAAATTTATGCAATGCACCTGACTCTACAAAAAGCCATCCCTCCGGTCTTGTTCCTCGGCTTCCTTGTTTGCTACTTGAACTGATTTGAACCACAGAAATGCCTGTATTTGGGCATAAACAATTAGCTGAATATTGCCGCCGCAAGGCAAGAATCCACAACTCGGTACAACTTCAAAACTTACCGAGGTGGGGATGCCAGTGAATGCAAAGAAGCCGAGCAATGGGGCATAAAAGATGCTGTCCGAATTCAAAACTCCAAAAACAGGCCTCTGGTTGATGTACTCGAATATAGACCCTACCTGCAATAGGATTTCGTAAAGATTGTCAGCCAATACTTTCTGTGCGGAACAGGACAAGGAAAGCAAAAGAAGCTTACTGCAGCAATTGCTGTCACTGCAGAGGCTAATAAGTAAACAAAGAAGGGCACTTCAAAGCCCTGTTGAGGCGCATTCTGTGCTCCCTCATTCCGAGCCCATGGAGGAGGCTCATCTGCATCTGGTCGAGCCCAAGATGGAAGAGTCTCTTCAGACTTGCTCGACTCAGTAGAACCTTCCGTGACAGCAAATACTCGGGTTAACTTCTTCTCCCGATAATCATGTTGGATTTGGTTTCTAGTAGAACAAATAAAATCCTGGATATTCTGTCCAGCACCGAGGAATGTCTTGGCATACCATTGATTCTGTAGTCCAGGATGACGAACTAAACATGGATTACACGAGGAAACCACAGTCACAGTCATAGCTCCCACTTCTGATTCTTCTACAGATACTGGTTATCCACCTAACATCAAAGACACCAATATAAAGCAAATTAATTCGAAAGAAATATTGGCCACACGCGCTTTCTTTGTTTGGATCACTATCGAGCTGGTTTCAAGAGCACCCGTACTAAACATATAAGATCAATCATTTCCATTTGCCAAGTTCCACAATAATCCATACTAAACAGATAAGATCAATCTTTTTGCATTTACCATGTTCCAAAAATCAATCCCGATCGAGTGATGTAATCGGTCTGACTACAGACTATGAATGACTATCACTCAATCTAGCAGCTGCACCTACCAAAAAAGACAGGTTATTCGATCACAACAACGTCATTTGTATTATATCAGAGTAATATCCCACTCTTACTCAAATACTATGTGATTCAAGAATGCATCGGAAATATCTTTCGTCTGCCAAACGCAGTCATTGAAAACTCAGGACACGCTATCATCCTATACGCTTTCTACGAAGAAACGAACGTTTTTCATGCTCTCCATCCTATCTTTAGCTCGATGCACTCATCAGAACACAAAAAAAAAAAAAACAAACAGGAAGCTCAATCGTTGAACACAGACATCCGAATGCAGTGCGGGGACAAATCCTAGACTCCCAAGTTTCCATCACCGCTAAGGAAGACCCGTGACTCAATTCCGTCCATTCGTTTCAAGAAACTAATCGGCAGCAAAGCTCAGTGACAGCGAAAACACCATACCCATCAAGAACCAACTTTCGGATATGAAAAAGGAACGGCTTTCGAACCCAAGAAAGCGCCGAAAACGGCCATTGGAGCTCACCTTTTGCACGCATTTACCGAAACTCCGGTCCAGACAAGCGAGAGAGAGAGAGAGGCTTCAGACCGTTCGTTGGTTTGAGCCACTCAGAATTTTTTCTCTGGTGTGGTAGTGGTATCTCAGAATCTCTCTACATCGTGTTTGGTTGCAGAGTTACTTTTTAAGCCAGTTACAGGATTGGGTCAGGCTTTGCACCCTGTTTGGCCCATATGGAGAGAATTAAAGGCCCGGTCCAATCATTTCCATGGACGGGCCCCGATTTGATTACAAAGCCTCTTAAGCAATAAAATTAGGGATAAGTTTACTGGAAATCCTAAAACTTATCGTGAAAGTGCAATTGAGTCCTGAAACTTTCAAAAAGTGCTATCCAGTCTTAGAACTTGTAGTGAAAGTGCAATCGATTTATAAGACTTTCAAATAATGTCATTAAAGGAAGGACTTGATTGAACCAATTTGACAAGTTTTAGGATTTGATCGCGCTTCTTGCAATTTTTAGGACTTAATTGCACTTTTTGAAAGTTTTAGGACTCAATTGGACTTTCGTGACAAGTTGTAGGACTTCCAATGCATTTATACCTAAAATTAAAACTAATCCTATTTGACTCTTCCAACTAATGTCCCAAAAAAAACTTCTATCCTTTTTTTTGTTTTCTTCGCCGAAAAATCAAGAAAAAAAGAACAAACTAAAAGAACCCACTTCGAATTGCCCGTGCCCCGCGCCGTCCCTGAGGCCCGAGCGACTGGAGCATAGGACCTCGATTTTCCGGCCCCGGATGCCCAACTAGCCTTTCTTTCGGGGGCCGGAGTGCGCGGCGCTCTGTAGCGCTCTCGCCGTTTTCACCATCTCGGGACACAATATTCTCCCCTACCTATTATGGAATGAGAATGATTGTCACAGGACAGCATTGCTTGTCATGCTAGTCTAATCAGATTCCAGTGCAAGTAGTTTATTTGGGATACACTGAGTTAGACAAAAGGGAAGGGGGCGAAAAAGAAGAGAGAAAAGGAGGAGGAGGAAAAAAAAGGGAAAGGAAAGAGGATCAATTGGATGCCCTTCAAAGGCTGCTGTTGCTTGTAGATTCAACAAAAGGCAATCATAAAGGAAACGAGCAAAAAAAAAAAAAACAGAATAAGGGGAAAATTGGCCAACAACCACTCTCTCCCTATGAGTCCGTGACAGCAGCACTCATAAGATTCTCCAAAATCTCCAAGCTCCATTTGCTTTTCACCATCATTATTTTCTCCTTATGAATCATGATTAGTGGCAATAATTACCACAGCGGCATTTACAAGAACTTAGCAACTTGTAATATATATATATTGATTCCTCAAACGACAAGGGATGTGGTGATGATTGAGTTGTGTCCCCCCGCTTTTGTTTTCTCACACGCCACAAGCATCACTTTCTTCAGCGGCTCATCAAGATACTCGTGTTTTGCTCCAAAAAATGAAAAAAGACGAAGCAGATAACGTTATAACCCACTTTTCTTATTGAAATGCTTATTAACGGGAAACCTTGGGGCATATGAAACGAGCGAAATAGAGTAATTTCATAAGTTACAAGAGAAAAAAAAATTGGACATGGGAGATAAAAGATAATAATCACGCTCCCGCCGACCGTGGGAGACGGAAGATGGTAGGGTTTATGCATATGCGAGACCAGCGAAAACTCTTATGGAGGTGCTCTTGCCGAAAAAAGATAAACTAATGGAGGTGGTTAGAAAGAATTAGACCTTCCGCACCTAAATGTGACATGAGGCCAATCAACCAAGCCAACCTAGGACAACCACAACAACATAATGGAAGCAATGAGAGAGCATTCAAAGAAAATAGTAAAATCAAGATTTATGTAAGAAACTATTTCTATGCGTAATGAGAGAGGTCACAGATAGTATAACGAGGTCTAGTCATACCAAGAACTACAAAGACGCGAGTTCCCCCTTCTACAAGATAGTACACCACAAACTCCGAATTACAAAATATGTGCTGTCGCTACTCTCTAAGAGCAAACACAACTTACTCGAAACTCAATACTGACCCCGTAGAAGAATAATGAATACAACAAACTCTTGTGTCTTCAATTCGAATGCAATGCAACCTTAACTGTGAAGAAAACCTGACCCCTCTTTCTCTCTTTTCTCTCTTGCGTGGTGCTCTCTTTCTTTTATGTCTACTCTAATTTTGGCAAGACCACATTTTAAGACTAGCCAGAAGCTATCTGGGAAATGGACACACTACAACCACCATGGACTTAATCCTCATTGATACACACACTTAGCCCAGCAGATAATACAACCTACCTAAAAGCACTCCTTCATTAAAAAACAACTTGTTTATTTATTTATATATTCACATATCAATGATATCAGATGTTAAGACTTTCAACTTACTTAGCCTCTAACGGACACATATGAACCACCATGTCTACATGCATAGAGTTGGGCTCCATCTCAAGATATTAGGTGCGACACTCGGAGTTACTTTGATCAGTAGGTCCTGTAATATGAACACAAAACTCATCTCACTCAAATTAAGCGATTAACTGTTCAAATAACCCGTTAGAGCAGATCGTGAATTCGCCCAACACTTCACAGAAAAAAAATAACCAATTTAATGCCATGTATCATGTAAAAGTTGCATTTTTTGAAGCCAAAATATTTCCAAAAGGTGGAAAGAAAGGGCCTTCTTCTTTCCCCGAGTACGTTCCTTCCAGTTGTCACGGACAAATGGCATATCCACATATATTATTGGCAGAGAGGTTCAAGAATTTTGACTGAATGCAAGAGTAAAATTGGCCAATCAGCATCAGCATCTTTCTTACCAATCTGAACAGACAGACAAGTTTCCAAAAAAAAAAAAAAAAAAAGGGCAGACCAGAAAAAAGAAGAATAAGGATAATCATTGGGTATTTGATATGGCCACACACATGCAGATGCAAAGAGACAATTTTTCTGGTCTCCTCTCCTTTTCTGGGATAATTGTCCATTGAAAAAACACACAAAATATCAAGGTAAAGAAGATGCCAAATGGACACCCAATTGACAGCTAGACTTGTTGCCACCAAAATCGATGAAGCTGTAAACCTTTTAGAGAGAGAGGGAAAGAGAGAGAGAGATGCTGAATTTCTTCTTAAGCAAAGAGTTGGGCTCAAGCAAGGGTGGCGTGTTTTGCATATGGACATTGAATTTTGTTCTGCATACACACGACGATCATGGAGGCTCATAAAAAAGCACAAAAATGATTGGAAACCGACAAACTTGGAACCATTGGAACCAAAAGATGACAATTTGCCCTTATTAATTGATTGGAAGTTACGTACAACGAGATATTCTTTCCAATATCTTGCACAAAGGCTCGCGAGTAAGCGAAGGAGAGGAATCACATGTCTATCCCATGAAAATAGGAGCATTCATTGGGTCCATCTCACGTTAATGATCGAATAAAATACGAAATACAGTCGAGGAGCGTGAGTGCCGGAAGAACGACGATAAAGTCAGAAAGTGGATGCGTTCAATACAGATGTGTAAAACCGAGATTGGACAGGCGTCCAAGATCGCGCAGTTATCATCACCGCCTTCAAACTCGGCACCGATCTTCTCGTGACCTCGCCTCTGAAGAGTAACACCGAACGATGGAGTCGAAGTCGAGGTGCCCCGGTCTTATGATTTAACCCCCATCTCCACTAGTCCTAGTTGGTTAGGTTTCAATCTCACAAAAGACACGACCTTCACCGACAAGGTATCTAAACACCCTTTTGATTGCAAATCACATGTAGCTCTTGATAAGGTTGCTTTGATGATGTGTGATGATGACCTTGATAATTACACTTACCAATTAGTCTCCTCGCACTGACACTCATGGTGGTTTGTTCGATTATATAACATTTATTTGGCAACTTTTCTGATAATATAATGATGGGGGCGTGGATACTCAGTTAATACTGATTATGTATATAATAAGAATGAAGTCAGTTGGGTTATCAAGATTAATGATGATTAGGATTTATGAGAGATTACCCCCAATGATCATGCTTGGCCCGTCGAGGGGCAAAAGATTGGTTTCCTTCTTGAAGTGACCCTTTCTTCTCATTCCCCTTCCAAATAGAGAGTCCCAAGCGCAATTCTAGTATAATCATTGATGAACAACATTAACACCTTGCTTGGAGTTTCACATAATGACATTCGCTTGCAGATAGTAGATTCTGTTGAACCGATGAATTTATGCCCGCATATATTCCCGATTCGAACCCTCGGAGATAATTTTATCTTAGCTCTTTGCTCTCACAATTACCACTTCAAAATTTTCGGATTCTTTTTAAAAACATCCTAAGCTCGCACCTCAGTATCCTCAATAATAATCAATTTAAAATGCCCATCTTTTTACTCCGAGAGATCTATAAGATAGTTTAAAGTGCTCGGCTGTGGCAAATCTTGCGTTTGAATCGTAATACATCTCACTCGGAGTAATTTGGGGGTCGCAACGCCGCCTCGCGATCGGAACCCCGACGCGACCGGACATAGTCCGAACGGTCCACCCATATCCGCACGGATCTAATTGAGCCGAAAATTCATACACCCGTCTCGTCCCCATAAAGAAACGATGTATTTTCCGAAGTACACTCACGGATATATAACATTTGTACTAAATGCTCAATAATAGCATTTGTACTAGGATCCCTCGTCCTCCTCTTCTTCTCCCCACGCACGCAAGAAGTGAATCATAAAAGCTGGTCGAAATTATAAGCAAGAGGGAGGAGGGACCGGAGTTGATGCGGGGGACGTTGCGGCGTGCGCGTGCATGTGCGGCCGCTATCAAGACACTGACGTTGTTGCTCCGAGGTCGTGGAGAAAATGGCCGTTGGCAGATGTCGGCGCAAATCCCAACGCCGAACTCGGTGAGTTGGTGACTGAGTTGGGCGGTGGTGGGGGGGAGCGAGTTCGTGACTGTTTGGTTGTGCTGTTGCTGTTGCTGTTGCTGTTGCTGTTGATGTCCGTCAGAACGTGCCGCTTTGCGGCTCTAACTGCTGCAATAATTCTTCCCAGCTCTCTTACGAGTGTGCTCTTTTCTTAACGGTCGGGGATTCAAGCGGGGCCCCGCTCGGGTCAAAGTTGGGTTGACCGGAGGAAGCGATGGACGATAATTATTATTGGGAAAATACTCTCTTTTTTTTTGGGTTTTGTTTTGGTGGGTATGACCGTATGAGACTTGACTACTATTGGCAAGATGATGCTTGAATGTACGTGGATGTTGTTGCATCTGTTTCTTTCATTCGTTTGTGGTTAAACTCTGTTTGAGAAAGCCCATCGTCCTTAAAAAAAAAGTCTCAAACCGGTATGCTCGTGTACTTACTCAAACCGGTATATCCCTAATCCCCGACTCAAATATGAACTCCACTAACAGTTCCTTCCGGATATCCCGTAAAAACGGGTACGTGTCTGCACATGCGAATTATCCACGTCGGATCTGTCATCCTCTACGTTAGAAGTCGTCTGCACGTACGCATTTTAACTGGGAAATCGGGCGGACTACTGGTGGAGAGTAGATATGGGTAATGAAAAACGATTTTGGGAGTTTTCTGTGCAGGCGAAAGTTGATTCTGAAGATTTTCAACGGTATTAGCCCTATTGTCCATAAGAAAAAGTAGACTCCACGTGCGGTGCACTAATAGCATAGACAAAAAAACTTTTTAGATCTTTGTTATACGTTATCGAATCTGTTAAATTACTAAGCAGTGTCGTCCCACATTAAACTTGTGGTGATCATTGCTTCACTGAACAATGTGACAACACAGTCCTCCCTCTTTCTTTTCTTTTTTTTCTTCTCTAACATGGACATAAAGAGAAAGTATTTGGCTTTTCTTACACGTACACATGAATCAACTGTTTCTTAGCGCACATAGCAATTCTAAAGATTAAGCATGTAACTTTTTTTTTGTCAAATTGTTGCTGCAAGCAAGGTGCATGTGATAATAATGCAATGGGTTACCGCAAAAAAGGCCAAGAAAGAGAGAAAAAAAGCAACCTGTCAATTGTCCAACACCCACCACCATCGGCAGCAACCGCACTATCCTCTGAAACCTCTGCAATTTAATCCCTGTTCACGTTAATGTTGGGGCTTGCGCCTTCCTTTTTTATCTGTGATAATGACACAAACAGTTCTCGAACTTTAATTTAACGTGCAATTTGATCCCTCAACTTTTAATTTATTCAATGTAGTCCATGAACTTTAACCTAATGTTAAATGAGGTCCCTAAACTTTCAATTTGTTCAATGCGATCCCTGAACTTTTGATATATGTTCAATTTAGTTCTTGAACTATATGAAAATGTATAATATAGTTCCTGAATTTGAATTAATGAAAGGACTACATTGAATATTTTTATAAAGTTCAGGGATTATATTGAATATATACTAAAAGTTCATGGATCGCATTGAACAAATTGAAAGTTCAGCGATCACATTTAACATTGAATTAAAGTTAAAAGACTATATTGATCAAATTAAAAGTTCAGGGATTAAATTATAAATTCAGAGACCGTTTGTTTTCCCTTTTGGTTTCTTTCTTTCTTTTGCTGCATTTACTCATCATTGTCTCCTTTTTTCAAGAAAAGCTCGCATTTTTATACACTTGTAAGCTACCCCCACCCATCCCACAGTATTCCGTGGTAAAACATTCTTCCTCTGTCTTCCCATCCTCGTTCTCTATCTTCCACATCATTCAAATTCTCTCTCTCTCCCTCTCCCTCTCTCTCTCTCTCATTTATAAAGCTTGATCGGTTGATGCCCTCTGATTCTTAACCACCGAAGGGCATAGGCTGTTCAGCACAGAGACACTGGACCAGGCACAGAAAGTTGAGCATGGCTTCCCTGAGATTGAACAGTGGGAAAAGTTGTCTCCTTTTTCTGTTTCTCTCTGCTTTTGCGGCAGAAATCAGCACTTGCCTTGGTTCCAAGGTGAAATAATGAAACACCCCACTTCGATAGAATCGACACCCATGTGGATTTAATCGGTTTTCTAGCTTCCTCTGGAGGTATTCATTTGGGGTCTCTGTGATTCTTCTTTGTTTTCAGGTGCATGTGGTTTACATGGGAAGCGTAAGAAATGAAGACCCAGATGACTCTTTGTGGCAAGACCACCAGATGCTTGCTTCCGTGCACAGTGGAAGGTCAGTTTGGTGTCATGAACCAGGATACAGTCGAACAATGAGTTCCTCTGTTCTTTACTTTCTTCTGTGTATTGTGTTCTATCGCTGTTGGAAATCATGTTAGCTTCTTTCTTTTAAGTATATTCAAGCATGTGTCGATATTGTTTAACAGCATGGAGGCAGCACAGGCATCGCATTTGTATAGCTATAGGCATGGTTTCAGAGGCTTCGCGGCGAAGATAACTGATCAGCAAGCTTCTGAAATTGCTAGTATGTGATAAAGCTAATGGTTGAACACTTCTTCTCTGTTGCAATGATATCGAATTCCTGCAGCTTTTGTTCTGTTCAATTTTCGCTGGGACTAAGAAGATGATTTTGCGGTTGGGTGATTGACAGAGATGCCAGGAGTGGTCTCTGTGTTCCCAAATACCAAAAGGAAGCTACACACTACACATTCTTGGGATTTCATGGGTCTTGTGGGTGAAGAAACCATGGAAATTCCTGGGTACTCCACAAAGAACCAAGTGAATGTCATTATCGGTTTTATCGATACAGGTGAACTTGCTTAAACATAGTCCTCTGTATACATCGGATTCTTGGACCGTTGCTTGTTTCAGAACTTTCTGGCCTGAAAAGCAGCTATCTATTCTAAAAGGAGAACCTTACTCTAGTTGTTACTCCAGTCCTGGCAGATACATCAGTTTAAGCTAGTCTTGCCGATTAGGTTGGTTGTGTCATTGTTGGGGAACACAACTTATAATTTCGGTATTAATTTGCTCTTTTGGGCTGAAGAGATGTCTATGTATTGTTAAGTAAATTGCTACAGTAAGAAGAAATACTTATTTTTACATGATATTGAGCAAATTATCACTTAGCTATCTTCCTTGCATCCAAATCTTGGATTTGATCGTAAAAAGAATGTAGGCATGATCCGTGATGTCACTTTTCAAAGCAGGAATATGGCCCGAATCATCGAGCTTCAGCGACGAGGGAATGCCTCCAGTCCCGACCAAATGGAAGGGGCAATGCCAGTCTGGAGAAGCATTCAACATTTCATCCTGCAACAGGTAATTTTCTGCTTTGGCCTCGGTATTATAAATCAAGCTCAGCAAATTGATTGATGTTGAGGACTCTTGGCATTGGTTAACAGAAACATTGTAATGCAGGAAACTGATCGGAGCAAGATTCTACTTGAGTGGCTATGAAGCTGAAGAGGACATGACCAGCAAAGTTACATTCAAGTCTCCCAGAGATAGCTCCGGGCACGGGACTCACACAGCCTCTACCGCAGTAGGCCGCTATGTTCAGAACATGAACTACAGTGGCTTGGCGGCAGGAGGAGCCAGAGGCGGTGCACCAATGGCTAGGGTTGCTGTGTACAAGACGTGCTGGGATTCTGGTTGCTACGATGTGGACTTACTGGCCGCCTTTGATGACGCTATTAAGGACGGTGTGAACATTTTGTCTCTGTCACTTGGTCCCGACGCTCCTCAGGGCGATTATTTCAGTGATGCCATCTCTCTCGGGTCATTCCATGCAACCAGTCATGGAATTTTGGTGGTTGCCTCTGCTGGCAATGAAGGGAATGCTGGTTCAGCAACAAATCTCGCACCATGGATGATCACCGTTGCAGCAAGCTCAACGGATAGAGATATCTTATCTGATATCATGCTGCAAAATGGTGCAAATTTTACGGTAATGCTTGCTTTTCCAATGATTTCTGGATTCGTTAGATCTATGGGGCCAAAAGGAAATCATTTGTTTTTTGTGGGGTAATATAGGGTGCGAGTCTGTCAGTCCTTGAGATGAACACCTCCGCGAGAATCATACCTGCCTCCGAAGCCTATGCAGGATACTTTACTCCTTATCAATCCAGGTGAAGCAGAAGGTACTTGAAAATGTTGCAATATAGATGCTAACGATAAGCAAACATAAGAGTCAATTCTCGCCTTTATTGCTTTCAGCTTCTGTTTAGAGAGTTCCTTGAGTCGTGCTAAGGCCAAAGGGAAGATTCTGGTGTGTCAGCATTCAGGAAGCTATACCGAGTCGAAGCTGGAAAAGAGTGTGGTAGTAAAAGAAGCGGGCGGGGTTGGGATGATACTGATCGATGATAACGATAAAGATGTTGCTATACCATTTGTGATTCCTTCGGCCATCGTTGGAAAGGGAACCGGGAGGAAGATCCTCTCATATATAAATCATACACGGTTCGTTTTATGCCTTTGTTGATGGTGAATTAAAAATTGCCAAAGAGTGCAAACTTGTGTATTTCTCTGACAGAAATGACTTATTTGCAATGAACAGAAAACCAACGTCCAGGATCTTCTCTGCAAAAACGGTATGGGGGGCTCAACCCGCTCCCCGGATTGCTGCATTCTCTTCGAAGGGTCCTAACTACATAACTCCTGAAATCCTAAAGGTAAGTTGTTTCTTCTTTCCTTATACAACTTCGGGCATATGGAAGCATTGTCCTCTTGATCATCAAACAACATCAGGCATTCACATTCTTATCGAGTGCTTTGGCTTTTAGCCCGACATCGCGGCTCCTGGACTGAATATCCTTGCAGCCTGGTCGCCTGCGGTTGCAAAAATGCAGTTCAACATTCTCTCGGGTACCTCTATGTCTTGTCCTCACGTGACCGGCATCGCAACCTTGATAAAGGCAGTTCATCCAACCTGGTCGCCTTCAGCTATTAAATCCGCAATCATGACAACAGGTAAAATTCTCGACATTTCAAACTTCGCATAACCATTTCATTCTTTTAAAGCTACATTTGTTTAAATCCCATATATTTGAACTGCCAAGGTTATGAACATGCCAAAAAGTGGTGCATAATCAGAGAAAGAGGAAAATGAATTGTCTTATCCTCTTTGTCGTTAACCCTTGGCATTGTTGTAAAAAGTGCAGCCACTATGTTAGATAAGAAGCGAAGGCCCATCACGGTGGACCCTGACGGCCGGAGGGGCAGTCCGTTTGATTTCGGGTCTGGTTTTGTGAACCCTACCCGTGTCCTCAATCCTGGGCTCGTTTACGACGCACAGCCTGAAGATTACAAAGCCTTCCTGTGCTCAATCGGTTATGACGAGAAAAAGCTGCGCCTGCTTACAAGAGACAACAGCACATGTGATCCCAGACCTGCATCAGCAACCGGACTGAACTATCCGTCCATTGTGGTGCCGCACCTCAAAGACGAGATCTCGGTAACTCGGACTGTGACGAATGTCGGGAAACCGATAAGTGCTTATGAAGCCATGGTTTCGCATCCTAGAGGAATTAACGTCACAGTCATGCCAAGGCGGTTGGTTTTCGAGAGATATGGACAGAAGATCAGCTTCACCGTGAAGTTCAAGGTAGCTGCGCCGACGCAGGGATACACGTTTGGCTTCTTGGCCTGGAGGAGTAAGACGTTGTTGGTGACAAGCCCTTTAGTCGTCCGCCGCGCATCCTCGTCGTCCGATATGGGGTTGATATGATGAAGGAAATTGCCGAATGTGAAAATTAGTCCTTTAGGATCTCCAAGAAATTGTCAAAGCTTTAGAGCATACAGAAACATATACAGTTGTAGAATCAAATGAAGATTAATATCAAAGGCCAGAAAATCAGGAGTGCAAAAGTTGAGGTCAGTCTGGAATGGCATCACACGAGTCGAGAGGATGAAATGTCCTTGCTTCATTTTTTTTGGCAGAGTTGTCGCTGTCTTTGAATTCTTCACTCTTGCTCTTGCAAATTTATTTAATTTTATATAGCATGGGAAGCGACAAGTTTAAGTGAAAGACTTTTTACTAAGGTTAGAGAGTTGAAGTTTCTGGCTAGTCCCCGAATTATAAAATATTCCACCGATGTCACGAAAATCGAATATAATAGTAACAAGCATTCCTCCTGGCTACAAACCTCCTCTCTAAATAATAAACGAAACATGTAGTTAGACAGATTTCAAACAATCATAGATAAGAGCTAGCATGAGCTCATTGAGAGGGACTTCTCCATCTTATATGTCATTCTGTGTTAGCAACACATAAAAATTTAGGAGTAGCCGATATCTTCTGTCGATAATTAATTTGATAAAATCACCAAGAATTCCGTCTATTTACATTATGAAAAGAATAGATCATTAAGAACGATTTACTGGTCAAACCTTTTTTTTTTCTTTTGAAATCATGAAGTTTCAAAGTAACCCATCAATAAAAAGTTGGTCGACCGAGCACTTGATCTATAGCTAACACAACTTTTTTGTTCGAATGACAGCTTCTCCACTCAGAATATCCATAGAGCAACGAGCGTCTTTACTTTTCATCCAATTTTTTAATATTATTTTTTCGAATTTTTTTTTTTCTTTTCTTTTCTTTTCTTTTCTTTTTCCTTTCCTTTTTTTTTTTTTCACCTTCAACCTCTGGCCGGTCGCCGGTCCGGCGACCGGCCAGAGGCGGGGGCCGGCGAGGTCGGCCCCGCCGATCGCTGGCGAGGCTCGGCCCCGCCGGCCGCTGGCGAGGTCGGCCTCGCCGTTGCTGGGCGAGGCTCGGCCCCGCCGGCGGCCGGCGAGGTCGGCCTCGCCGTTGCTGGGCGAGGCCGAGCCCCGCCAGCGGCCGGCGAGGTCGGCCTCGCCGTTGCTGGGCGAGGCCGAGCCCCGCCAGCGGCCGGCGAGGTCGGCCTCGCCGTTGCTGGGCGAGGCCGAGCCCCGCCAGCGGCCGGCGAGGTCGGCCTCGCCGTTGCTGGGCGAGGCCGAGCCCCGCCAGCGGCCGGCGAGGTAGCCCCGCCGGCAGCTGGCGAGGTCGGCCTCGCCGTTGCTGGGCGAGGCCGAGCCTCGCTGGTGGCCGGCGAGGTCGGCCCCGGCTGCCGCAACGGCGAGGCCGACCTCGCCAGCTGCCGGCGGGGCCTGGCCTCGCCAGATCTGGCGAGGCTAGGCCCCGCCGGCAGCTGGCGAGGTCGGCCTCGTCGTTGCGAGGTTCAGCCTCGGCCGAGCCTCGCCAGATCTGGCGAGGCTTGGCCTCGCCGGCCGCTGGCGAGGTCGGCCGAGGCTGAACCTCGCCGTTGCTGGGCGAGGCTCGGCCCCGCCGGCCGCTGGCGAGGCTCGGCCTCGCCGTTGCGGCAGGCGGGGCCGACCTCGCCGGCCGCTGGCGAGGCTCGGCCTCGCCCAGCAACGGCGAGGCCGACCTCGCCAGCTGCCGGCGGGGCCGAGCCTCGCCAGCGGCCGGCGGGGCCGACCTCGCCGGACCGGCGACCGGCCAGAGGTTGAAGGTGATAAAAAAAAAAAGAAAAGGAAAGGAAAAAGAAAAGAAAAGAAAAAAATTCGAAAAAATAATATTAAAAAATTAGACGAATAGTAAACGGGGTAGATTTGGGACAAAAGTAAAAGTTTGGGGTTTTTTATGAGACAAAAAAAAGTTTGGGATATAATTGAGACAAAGACTAAAGTTTGGGGTTTTTTAGGGAATTTGGCCTTGATCTATATAACACAACTTTTTTGTTCGAATGACAGCTTCTCCACTCAGAATATCCATAGAGCAACGAGCGTCTACTTTGATGCACATAGACAGGTACACATACTTGCGTATGGGGCTAATATGTTGAAGCAAATTGCTGGATGTGTAAATTAGTTTTTAGGATGTCTAAGAAATTGTCCAAGCTTTAGAGCATACAGAAGTATGTAGAGATTTAGAATCAAAGTGAAGATCAATATCAAAAGCCATAGAATAAGGAGTGGAAAGTGGTTTGGATGATGGCATTACACGAGCCAAGAGGATGAAGTTTCCTAGCTTCAATTTATTGGCAAAGTTCTGGCTATTTTTGCATTCTTCGTCCCTTGTCTTGCAAATTTAATTAATTTTATGTAGCGTGGGAAGCAACGGAGTTCAGGTGGATGACTTTTTACCAAGGCGGGAGAGTTGAAGTTTCTGGCTACTCCCCAAATTATAAAATACTCCACTAACCTCGTGAAAATTGAATGTAAGAGTTTAGTGACAAGCGTTCATCTCAACTGCAAAACCTCCTCCCTAAACATTATATTTAGCATATAAATAGTCAGATTTCAAAAAATTATAAATAAGAGCAAGCACGAGCACACTAAGAGGACTCTTCTATCTTATATGTCACCTCGTAATAGCAAAACCTAAAAATTTTAGGAGTAGCCAATATCTTCTATTAATAATGAATATGATAAAATTACCGAGAATCCCATATGTTTACATTGTGAAAATTAAAGGACGATTCACTGGTCAAACCTTTTTTTTCTTTTAAAATCATGAAGATTGAAAATATCCCATCAATAAAAAAGTTGGTTGATTAAGCACTTGATCTATATGACACAGATTTCTTATCCGAATTACAGCTTCTCCACTCAAAATATCCACGGAGCAACGACCGTCTACTCTGATGCACATAGAGAGGTTGACATGTACTCGTGTAGGAGGTTAATTTGATGAAGCAAATTGCTGGATGTGTAAATTAGTTTTTGAGAATCTCTGAGAAATTGCCCAAAACTTTAGAGCATATAGTAACATTTACAGATGTAGAATCAAAATGAAGATCAATATCAAACGATATCAAAGGCCAAAGAATCAGGAGTGAGAAGTGGTTCAGATCAGTCTGTAATGGCATCGCATGAGTCAAGGGGATGAAATTTCCTTCCTTCAATTTTTTTGCAAAGTTCTAGTTATTTTTTTATTCTTCATTCCTACTCTGGCAAATTTACTTAATTTTATATAGCATTGGAAGCGACAAGTTTAAGCGTATGACTTTTCACCAAGGCGAGAGAGTTGAAGTTTCTGGCTAGTCTTCAAATTATAAAATACTCTACTGACCTCATGAAATCAAATGTAAGAGTTTAGTAACAAGTGTTTCGTTTAGATACAAACCTACTCTCTAAACAATAAACTAAGCACATAGATGGTCAAAATTCAAACAATTATTGATAAGAGCTAGCATGAGCTCACTGAAAGGACTTCTCTATTCCTATATAAGCAAAACCTAAAAATTTTTGGCGTAGCCAATATCTTCTGTCAATAATGAATTTGATAAAATCACATAGAATTCCATCCGTTTGCCTATTTTCTTTGTGAAAATAATAGATCTTTAATGATGATTACTGGTAAAACATTTTTTTGTCTTTTCAAAATCATGAAGATTGAAGGTACCTCATCAATAAAAAGTTGGTTGACCGAGCGCTTGATCTATATTTCTTATTCGAATTACATCTTCTCCACTTGGAATATCTATGGAGCAACGACTGTCTACTGTAATGCACATAGACAGGGAGGTTTACATGTATTAGCGTATGGGGTTAATACGATGAAACAAATTGCCGAATGTGAAAATTAGTTTTCGAGGATGTCTAAGAAATTGTCATATAGAAACATATACAGATGTAGAATCAGAGTGAAGATTTATATCAAAAGCCAGAGCAGTAGAACGTGGTTCGGATCAGTTTGTAAAGGCATCACATGAGTCAAGAGAATGAAATTTCCTTACTTCAATTTTTTGGTAAATTTATGGAAATATTTGAATTCTTCATACTCACTCTTGCAAATTCAGTTATTTTATATAGAATGGGAACCAACCAAGTTTAAGAGGCAGGGCTAAAGAGTTGAAGTTTCTAGCTAGTTCCCAACATATAAAATAGGGTTATTATCATAAAAAATTCCAAACTGACACACTTATGATAAATTTACCCCAAAATAATTTTTTGATTATCAAAAACCACAAATTTGTAAACCTGTGATAAATTTACCCTCCGTTAGTTTCCGTTAAATTTTACTGTCAAATTGTTTAGTTAAATGATACAGGACAGTTGACGAATGAAGCTGTTTGGGGTTTTTACACTTCGTTTGTCCTAGGTATACTAGTTTGTGATTTTTTTTATATTAACTCAATTTAATGGAGGGTAAATTTGCCATAGTGTACCAATTTGAGATTTTTATGGTAAAAAAATTAATTTTTGGTAAATTTATCACATGTGTACTAGTTTGGAGTTTTTCGTGGTATCAACCCTACAAAATACTCCACCAACCTCATGAAAATCAAATATAAGGGTTTAGTGACGGGCATTCCTTTCTACTAGAATCCACCTCCCTAAGATTAAACTAATCATATAAAAAGTCAGATTTCAAACAACTATGGATAAGAGCTATAGCATGAACTCACTAAGAGAACTTCATTATCTTATATGTCACCTTGTACTAGCAAATCCTAAAAATTTTAGGAGTAGTCGATAACTTCTATCAATAACGAATTTGATAAAATCACCAAGAATCCTATCTGCTTGCCGATTTAAATCGTGAAAAATACCTCACAAATAAAAAGTCGGTCCGCCAAGCACTCAGATCCGCAAGACACGGACCCGATGTTCGAATCGCGTCTTCTCCACTCAGAATATCCATGGAGCAGCCAAACGACAGTCTGACAGTCTGCTCCAATGCAGACAGACATGGAGGTTTACATGCATCGACAGAGAAGATTGATCGACCCGAATGTTCAAATTTACAGTCGTCGCTCCGAAAACCCTGTTTTTTCCGCCCTCAAAAAGAGAGAGAGAGAGAGAGAGATCCAAAAAAAGAAAAGGGAAAAATAAAAAAACAAGGAGGTGCATGGGTGCTAAAACGGAGGTGGAGTGACACGATGAAGTTGGGGGGTGGTGGGGAAGAGGCTCGTCCGTGTAAAATTCGGGTGCCTGCAAGCAAGTAGCACCGTGAGCGACTTCCATTGACGTAGCCCCCACCCCCCATTATTCCACACCATACCACCACCACCGCCCTCCTCTCTGTTCTCTCTTTCCTCTTATAACTTCCCCCGCCCCACCCTCTCCTTCCACCCTTCCTCCATGCTGCTGCTTCTCTTGGAAGTCACATGGAGGCGCGACCGACTCGGGCCCTCCTCTTCCGTCCCTCGTAGCAAACAACAAGAACAAGGAAGGAAGGAGCAGCCAAGAAAGGAAGACGGGGCCCTTCCCCTTCGTCTCGCGTCTCGCCCGGCCTCTCGTCAGGTGACCCAATTGCGATTTCCGCTTCCTTTTTCGATTTGGGCATCTGGGTCTCTTCGTAATTTCGATTGGGGATTTGCTGCGAACCCTAGAGCTCGTTCTTTGCTGGGGGGAGAGGGGAATTGGGTCGGGTCTTGTGGGTGCCGATTGTTCCGTCGCTCCCTGCTGCGCTGCGTTGGTGGGTGGGGGAGGAGGATCTTGAGGCTGGATCGTGGAGCAGCCCCCCCGCGAAACCGAGGTTGGTCGTCGGTAGGTGGGCGTTTCGAGTTCCCCCAAATCCGAGCTGCTCGTTGAAATTTTTCTTGTTTTTCCTGAGCTGGGTTTGATCTTCAAGCGCGCGTAGTCGCCGCGTGGGTTTGGATTGATCGGTTGTTTTGGTGGAGGGGAAGCTTGCGTATGTTTTTTGCAGGTTGCTTTCTTTGCAGGTAGCGAGTGTCAAAGTGGTGCCTTTTCTAGTTTGATTTCGAACGAGAATTGATGTCTTGCTTCCCATGTGCTGCCTTGATATCGTATTTTCTTTGGTTCTTGTTTGGATTCATTGTTCTTCCTCCCACATTGCTTCCCATTGATTCTTTTGGGTCCTCCATAATCTGTTTACCTTGCTTGATTTAATCATTATGTGGTGTGTTGTTTTGGTGTTGAACCCCTGAAGTAATGTGCCTCAACGAAAGCTAAAAGTGATGAACAGCACAGATGGCCTTATCCCTCTGCTCACTTCTCCTTTCCTCTTTATGTGTTTTCTTCTTTAGAGTGTCAATGCGTAGGGGTATGTCTTTCTTTGCAAAGGATTCTTTCTTTTTAGTTGTTTAGGAAGTTGGGCTGTTTATTGAGCTCCTTATCGTATCGTTTTGTATTTGTTTTCTGCTGGTAGTGACCATATAAACTTCGAATAGAGAATAATTTTTTCTATAACAGTATCTTAAAGAGTTGCAAGTTTTGTTTTGCATCTGTTCAGTATGTTGCTTTCCTGTCGACCTTTGGAGGGGCTAAATCTACACCTTAGTCCAATTTGTACCATTGTCGTGATAACAGAATTAAGTAAAATATGATTTGGCTCCATGAGAAGTGTTCGAGTGTTGGAGGCCTGGGGCTAATTTGATGGCTGGAATTTAATAAATTTTGTGGTTTCTAAAGATTTCATTTGATGACATAGGATTTCGCTGGTGCTAGTTTTTCTCCTCTTTTTCAAAGTCTATAATTTGAAGAGATTATGCATCATGAAGGTATACTCCAAGTGATGCATGCCTTTTGTACTCTTTTCTGCTGGACATTCCTTTGGTCTGAGTTATTAGTTATGCCTAATATCTTGTACGATTCGGGCATATGACTATTCTTGAAAATTGCGCTCTGGTAATTTGTAGCAAGAGCCTCCTTTCTCAATTGAAGTTAACTTTCCTCTTTTTCATATATTCGATGAAGTACAATCAGCGACGGCAGTCTCCAAAGAAGTATAACAACAATAATAATACTTATGATGATGGTGATGTATTAATATCAATAATAGAAAAGGTTGACCTCTATATTTTGCATCTTGGTTTGCTTAATTGCCTTTTAACAGATGTTCATTGGCGTTTGTGCTTTTAACAGTTAACTTGAGCCAGTCAAATGCAAGATTCGAGAATGATATTTGCTGAGGAAGTTTCGGATGTAAAGCCACGGAAGAAAAAAGCTCCTTCAAGAAAGGCAACTCTACTCCCGTTGCAAGGTAATGGTGTCCATGGGGTTCAACAGCTGAAGGGTGCTCCAGCAGCGAAGACTGGACAGAAATCCTCCAAAAGAAACCCGAAGAATGATGCCTCCATGTTGCTTCATCAGCAAGAGAGATCAAATTCAGATTCATTGCCGGACTCTTCTACATCCGGGGATGAGTATCGTGCACTGAGGAGGAGATATTTGCTTCTAGAGGAAGAAAGCTTTTCCTTGGGGAACGAGTTGAGAGATGTTGAGAAAGAAGTTAAGGTGCTCGAAGAGGAAAAATTTGCACTGCTGGATAAACTTGTGGTGCTAGAAGGCTTGATTGATCCCTCAGAGTTGCAGGTGTAGGGCCTACACTAAATAGTATATCGAGATGTGATAATTGGCAGACAAAGAAGACGGTCTATTTAGTACAAATGATGATATCCTTGTTCATAGTAGTGCTTGACGTCTCAGTTAAGTCGCCCACTTAAAACTTGGGAGAGAGCAAATGCTAAAGTTAGTCACAGTTTGGGTTCTAACTGATTTGAACACCAATGTTGTAATGGTTTCGTGTCAAAAGTTATAGTTCCAAATATCTTTGTTATTACCTCTTTTTTTTTCTCTTCTTTATTTTGTTTGACTTGAAAAGTTTATGATACTTCAAAATTTTTATTCGTGGTTGTTACCATTAGTGTATGGGGTGGTGCTGTTAGTGAGAGAACCAGGGTTCCTTAAATGTGGATGATGACAGATTTCATGGTAACATTGGGAGAACTGATACCAGAAACATGTACACACCTTTGGTTCAAAGCAAAGAAGAAAAATGGAAGACCCTGCTGTTTGATGAACCATAAAGGACGATTAAGCCTAGAAGTGATGATTTGGAAACCGAAGTGGCCGTACCGGCATGGCCCGGATCAGGCGGACGGGAGTTTGATTCACACAAATACAGTCTTTTGAACCAATTTAATCAGAACCAAATGACATAAGAGGAGTAAGAGCCAGGGAAGGTCTCACACTCAAATTATGGAGGTGATGCTATTTGCCCATGTCATCCCTCCTGTATTTCCCTGTATTTTGCAATCAGCCAACCAACCTCAAAAACGATTCTTAAGCCACAGCAGTATTATTTCAGGATAACTCTCGGAAAATTATTGCGCGATCGTGATCCGTATCCATTTTCTACCACGCGGTCCGAACTTTGCTCATGCAGGACTAAAGTCTTATGGAATGACGGAGCATACTCGTGGGATACTCAAGTTTGGGGAAAAGTGTTGAAAAAGTCTTAAACTTTTTTGGGTGGTGTTAATTTAGTCCTAAACCTATTTTTTATGCCAATTTAGTCCTAAATCTTTTGATATGGTGTCAATTCAGTCATTCCGACTAATTTAGCCCAGAAAATGCTTACGTGGATTCCCAGTAAGCACCGGCCGTCCTACGTAGCCGGACCGACGCTGACATGAATGCCGAAAATTAAAACGGCGTCGTTTTTTATTCATAAAAAAAATCCTAGAACTTTCAAACGGCGTCGCTCACCTGCTCATCTCTCTTTCGTTTTTTGCCCCAAACCAACCCAAGCGAGAAGTGAAGAACCCTAACTTTTATCTACCAAATCGATCGATTCGTCTTAATTAGGGGTGTGCAAAACGGACTACCCGGACCGGGAACCGCCCGGATCAGACCGAACCGGCAGGTTGGGTCCGGTTCCGAGTGTCGGTCCGGTTCCCGGTCCCTAAAAGTGGAACCGGTGTCCGGGTGATCCGGTTCCCGGTTCCAAGGGGAAACCGGACCGTCATTTTTTTCGTAAAAAAATAAAATAAAATATGAATTAAATCCTAAGTGAACTTCATTGACATAAATTCATTGACAAAAATTAGTAAAATGTGAAATAAACCCTAAGTGAACTTTATTGATATAAATTCATTGATAAAAATTAATGAAATGTGAACTAAACCCTAAGTGACCGGTTCTATTAGATCGGACCGGATTGACGGTCCAGTCCGATTCCCGGTTCCCAAAATTGGGAACCGGGAACCAATCACCCCTAGTCTCAACTCAAATCGAAGCTCAAAGCTCGTCCGGCGTCACTCACCTCTCTTTCTCGTAGATTCGCTTGAAGCTCACCCGAAGGTCGCCTAACGCTCGACCGACACCTTCTTGTAGATTCGCTCAAAGCTCGCCTGACGTTCTGAGGTAAGTTCATCAGATGATTTTCTTTTGAATCGAGTCTACTTCTTCATTTTTTGAATTCTATTAGTCGTCTGATGCTGATAATCAACCTGATTAATGTCAAGTTGTGTGGTTGGCACTCAACAAACACGACAGAAAGCGTGTGGTCCCGATTTGCAATTAATTGAGTCTACTTCTTCATTTTTTAATTGCGACCCGATTCGACCACGAGATTCTGCGCGGCGAATACGACAAAGCGTGTGGTCCCGATTTGCTTGTGTGATCAGCACTCAGAAAAAACGACATAAAATTATGCTTGTGTTGTAGTCCCGATAATTAAACTGTGAAAGACCGCATGGAATGCACAACCAATGCAGCAAACAAACAAAAAAGGGCAGTTTTATTGTATTTTTTCACCCAAAATGGAGAGCCCCAATTTCATGAGTTGCTTCTGTGAGGTGTTACTTCGTTTACTGTGAAAAGAACCACGTGATGCCGCCAAGTTTCACTTGGATGGCTTTCCATCTTGTCCGAGAAAACTTGGAATTTCTCTCTTCGTTATCACCTTACTGATATGAAGAGAGCAGAACATTTGATACGAAATGACTATTAAACTTATTTCCTTAAACAAACATGCATTCTGATTTCAATCAGACATTTTATGGAATAGGTGGCATGTACTTCGATTAATGAACTTTGACTCACATATAAGGCAAAGTATTACTATTTGATGCTAGTTTAGGGTTAATCTGGGCTTTTAATTCTTCCTGTTCTAGAACAAAAAAAAATAATTCTTCCTGTTCAATTTTTTTTTATGGGTACATGTCTGCATCAGACAATGAAGAATATTCTCTAGTTTATTTTTTGGTCAGAAAGAATCTTCTCTAGTTCAATCCGACAACATCCGCAGTTTCTCAGTAATGTCACAAACGCGCTTACTTGTGAATTTGGCAGCTGTTCATATTTGACAGGAGGAGCTTTATCTCAAAGACCAAATTTCATGGCCACGTTCTAGAAATATGCAAAGTGTTCTTATTAAACTTTGGGCTGAACAAATACAAAAATTTAGGGGCCACATTGAATAAATTAAAAGTTCATGGACCACATTGCATATTTTGCAAGAGTTCAAGCACTATTTGTATCTTTTTTTTTGGTAAGGCAACTATTTGTATCATTATCCTCAATAAAAACGAAATTCAATCCAAAGATTCTGAAAATGACCCCTACCACCGGAAATTGGACTCCATTTCATTCCAAGATGATTATGGAGAACTTTCTGCATGATGAAAAGTTTGAATAATCTTTAGGGGGAAAGTTCCTAGCAAACCTATCGATTCAAATTCAATTTTGCTTGTGAACTTTGATTTCCTCAACAGGAGAAATGAGAATGTATATGTAACGACCCGGTCCGACGAGGGTAGGGAGTAGTTACCGAGGCCAAAGAGCTTGGATAAGGAGCAGCTCCGATAGGTTTCTAGGATGGCGAAGGGGTAAGAATGAACCGAACTGTGCACCAAACAGGGAAATAGCGATCATGAGATATATAAATGAAAACTGGAATTAACTCACGGAGGCGCCTTTTGACGTAATGGCAAGCTTTGCTTCGGAACTCTAAAGTTAAGCGAGCCTCGGTATGGGATGGGCCAAAGCAGATAATACCTCAAGTGAGTTAAATCCAGGGCATCACAGTATATAAGACTTTGCACTTTTGATTAGATGCTGCGACTTCAAGCAATCCACTTCGTGAAATGGGTCTACAACTCAAGCTCTTCATCTTGACCTTCCTGCTTTCAATGGCATTTTCAGAAACCCGAGGCCCCGACATAATAGAGAAGCTGTTCAAAGGGCCGTTTGATGAATCCAACGTCAATGAATTTGAAGTCCTTACACAGGCGAGTATCAACAATGGCGCCCTCCAGGTGACACCGGACTCTGGTGGGAACTACAATCTCTCCAACAAATCCGGAAGAATTCTGCTCAAAGATAGTTTCAAGCTCCATGACAAAGGAGCGAGAGTGGCCTCATTCAGCACCTCCTTCTTCATCAACATCCAAAATCTCAGGAGCAGTACTTCAGGCCACGGAGAGGGCATGGCGTTCGTGATAGCGCCCGATCTCAGCCTTCCCCCCGGTAGCGAAGGGCAGTACTTGGGCCTGACCAATGCCATCACCGACGGAAATGCCACCAACCACCTTGTGGCTATCGAGTTCGACACGTTCAAGCAAGACTTCGACCCCGACGACAACCACATCGGTCTCAATATCAATAGCGTATTGTCAGTACAAAATGTGTCCTTGTCCGATTTTGGCTTCCAGCTTGTGCCCGAAGGTTCAAAAAATTTCACGATCTGGATCCAATATGATGGAGTGAATAAAACTCTGCAGGTTTTCATGGTGGATGAAGAAAATCCTGTACCCACCAAGCCGAGACCGAGCAATCCTGTAATGTTCGCAAAAGATCTCGACATTGGAAAAGTTGTGAGCGAACGCTCCTATTTTGGTTTCGCAGCATCGACAGGCAGTGCAATAGAGTTGCATTGCGTGCTAGGATGGAATCTGACAGTGGAGAAGCTACCGGAGGATGAGGGTCTCATGATCGAGGCAAAGATTGCCTTGGGTGTTGCGGTGCCCCTTTTGGTGATTCTCTTGGCATGTTGGTGGCTACAGCCTATTCTGTACAAGAAGTACAGAACAGCCAACGACCCAACAATAATGGGGACCCTCAAGTCCCTCCCCGGGACTCCAAGAGAGTTCCAGTTTGGGGATTTGAAGGCGGCCACAGATAACTTCAATAAGAAGAACAAATTAGGACAGGGCGGTTTCGGTGTGGTGTACAAAGGAGTATTGTCAAAAGAGAGCCTGGAGATTGCCGTGAAGAGATTCTCCAGGGACAAGGTCAAGAGCAAAGATGATTTCTTGGCTGAGCTTACTATCATCAATCGGCTGCGCCATAAACATCTCGTCAAATTACTCGGTAAGTAAATCAAACTGCTCCTCAATCTATGTACAGCAATTGGTGATCGAAGAGTTAGAACCTGATGATCAATCAAATAAGTTGAGTTGCATTGAACCAAGCACAAGGTGGCCAAATCTAACGCTTGTTATACAAGTCAAATTGAGTTACTTTAACAGGAAGTAATCCTCCATCACACCACCTAACCAAATATTGTTTTTCGTTCTCAGGGTGGTGCTACAAGAATGGGAAGCTTCTCCTGGTGTATGAGTACATGCCGAATGGTAGCTTAGACACACACATATTCTGCGGACCGGAGAAAGCTACCATAAGATGGGACCTCAGATACCAGATCATATCAGGAGTTGCATCAGCTTTGCACTATGTGCACAATGAATATGAACAGATGGTTGTGCATAGAGACCTTAAGGCCAGCAATATCATGCTTGACTCTAGCTTCAACGCCCGGCTAGGAGACTTCGGGTTGGCCCGAGCCATAGAGAATGGGAAGACCTCCTATGCAGAACTCGAAGGTGTACCTGGTACTCTTGGTTACATTGCACCTGAGTGCCTGCACACAGGTAGTCAATCGTAGTTCTTGAGATGATTGAAAGTTGTCATATTTGTTCATTGGAATTCCAAAAAACGATCAGGCACAAAATCCATGATCATTCTAATGCATAGTCTGACAGTGGTGTGGTTCATGATGCAGGTAAAGCCACTAGGGGATCTGACATCTACGGCTTTGGAGCAGTGGTTCTCGAGGTTGTGTGTGGCCAGCGACCATGGACCAAGATTGGTGGATTCTGCTTCCTGGTGGATTGGGTGTGGTCACTTCATCGTGAGGGGCGAATCCTCGAGGCAGTTGACGAGAGGCTAAAAGGAGATTATGTGGCAGAGGAGGCTGAGCGGCTGCTGCTCTTGGGTCTGGCATGTTCACACCCAAATGCGAGCGAGAGACCCAAAACACAGGCCATTTTGCAGATTGCTTTAGGATCACTGACGGTGCCGTACGTCCCGCCATTTAGACCAGCCTTCGTGTGGCCTTCAGCAGGTGCTGTGGAGGGGAACATTGATTCAGAATATACAGATGACTTAACTGTCACAATTTCGCATTAGGCGATTGTTCACTGAGATTCTTTCTCGAAAAGTGGGTCACAACTCATGATTTAATGGAGGCATCAGTGCATCACTTATGAAGCCTATATGTTTTATAGTGTTTGCCTGCACATTGACTGTTAATTTATCTACCCTTTGAAGAATGCTCTTTCTTTTTTCCTTCAATGTACAGTTAGGATACGGTGAGCTATTGTCTTATTTGCTTATTTTCATTTTTAAGCTGGCTATTATGTTGGACTTGGCACGCTAAACTCTACACACGTGCCTTTTACTTTGATTTGTTCAGTTAAATTTCAGCAACTTCATAGGAAGTGTTGCAGATTTTCCAATTGTAAAACGAGTGTCTACATAACAATCCTCTGTGCATTTGACTTGGCCGACGACGACCACTTCCAGATCAGGTAGCGTCTACACTGCAACAAGCATGAATGCAGACCCAGTATTACAAATACTGCAAATGAGCACCAATCAACACAACCAATCGTGTTTTTGACTTGAATACAAAATACATAGTTGCCGATTATTTCTTGAACCCGGGTCGAATGTGATGCGACTTGCGTCCATATCATATCCCAGATGCCACTCGAAAAAGTGCAAGAGTTTCACCTGCGTGCAATTTTTACAGAGACCGAAGTTTCCTATAATCTTTGCAAGTAAAAGGGGCATAGAGGCGTGGGTGTTCAGCATTCACAAGCTCGTCTGGGGCTTCAATAGCTGCCTCCTTTGGTACCAATACAAAAGTTCCCATTGATACCCGAACTCTTCCTTCCTTGCATTGAACTCAGACGCTTCACATTTGTTCGCTCGTTTTACGACGAGGAATATCCTTCACCGAAACTTCGATTTTCGATTTTTATTAAAGTAGGTTCTGTGGCTTGATTTCTAGGAAAATCGTGGCGAAAAACAGAGTGTAGTGCAGGGTTATATGGAAACGGGTAGAAATTGAGTGGATTGAAAATGGATCTGAGATCAACAAAGTGTCTAACTACGTTACAATACTCCTATGAAAGCTGAAAAGGACTTGAAGGTTAACTAAAGCTACAGGAAGCTGTAAACGCAAGAAGTAAAAGTGCAGATAAAACTAAAGTGCATATAAGCTTGAGTGTTTTTGCATTCTTGTCGGGGGTCCTCTTTTCTTCTTTCTTCTGAGTATTTATATCTCCTCCTATCCTGTAACTGCTTGTCGGTTACTTCTTTGTTTTCGAACTTTGAATCTTGGCGCTTTCAATAACTGCCTTATCTACCCACGTTTTCCAATTTCATTGTTCACCAAAACTTGATCTCAACCGCTGGGATGACTTCCAATTTGAATAAATAATCTCCCACGATCTGCTCGTGCTCACCATCTCCGCTTTTTGCTCATAACTTCCTGTTGTCACGATTCACGTGGCTGGGTTGTGATCTTGCCGATTTTTGGTAGCTTCAACATTTCCCGAAATGTAAACTTTTCATGTTTCGGTAAAATTACCGATTCTCTCCAATCACAGAATTCGGGACATGGTGCCATTCACGCTTACTACATTCCCGAATTTTATCCAAACGTACTTCGGCAGACGACCGAACTCCATTGTCTGTTGGATTTTGACATTAAACCGACTTGACATCCATGCCGATTTTAGTGTAAACAAATGCCCCCTTTTAAAAGAATTAAAAGAACTTTTAATTCTTTTAAATGTCAAAGAAATAGTACCTATTCTTGACGTCGCTTCGTCACCTTGCTTCGCGCGCCTACCTTTTCGTCTCCAAAACACTTTCTATAAAAATCGCTCCTTTTTCGTTCTTCTTCATCTTCACCTTTTTGAATCTCTGCAATCTTTTCCGACACTCTACTAAAATCCATGGCTTCCAAAGCTTCCAAGGACCAAACTTTCTCCTTTTCTGCATCAGATGCCCTCGACCGATATTATCTATTTCGGGATTCTGATAATTTCAAAGAAGGATCTCATATGTTCTCTGTACAGAATGATTTTGAAGATTCTTATATCCTTGGCCCTGCTGCTCACAATCACTTTTTCGTTCCACAATGCCTGTCAAACCGCTTCCCTCGTCATCAGATTGAGGTACTTCCCATCCATGAGTCATCTATTTTGGCGTACCAGTGATATTCTCGTCCTTCTCGCCTTAGGGTTTTCTCTGATTTTGATTCTGAGTTCTATCAATGGTACCTTCGTCTTCTTCCTTCTAAGGGTTTTCTTTGGAATACCCTTTCCATCCACGATGCTTTGCGTCTTAGTTGTTTCGACTACCATGTGAATCAGGAACTAATTGGCGCATTGTCCTGTTTTTGGTCATCTTCGACCAACTGCTTCTTTTTCCCTTTTTCTCCTATGTCGGTAACTTTGCTCGATGTACATTGCCTTACTGGGCTCTCTCTTTTGGGTACAGACCCATCTACCTTGTCTCTAGACTCTCATTCGCCGCTCGGCAAATTATCTGATTCTGAAATGGCCTACGGAACATTCATGAAAAACTACTTTAAAAAGGAGAATGCAATTACCGACGAAGAGCACACTGCTTTTCTTTTATACTGGCTCTGTAAATTCCTTTTCTGCCGCCCTATAGTTAGGGTCTCGAACGATTTTGTTGCTGTTGCTTCTACTTTAGCTTCAGGGACCCGGCTTTCTTTAGGCAAGACAATGTTGGCCTTACTCGGGTTTAACCCATGCTTCTTCCTCCACTGCTTCAAATGAAGTTAGTGGCGTTTTTGGTGGTCCCCTTTGGCTTCTTCAAGCATGGGCAACCTTCTATTTCTCTGCTTGGTTTTCCAAGGATCAAGTTATCCAGCCTCTCTCGGTTTCTATTCCTGACCAACTAGTTGCCAAACTTTGAGCAGGAAACTGGTCTCTGTTCCTAAAACACCATCCTCTTGTTTTCGGTACTTTATTTCTCAAATTTATTCCATTAAGGAGAATCCACATTCTTTATCTCCTTTCTTTACCCCTCAATTCAAATCTTACCTTCCCGCCTTTCAGAAGAACAAAAGTGACTTTTGGCAATCTGTCTTGACTTCTGTTGATCTCCCTGTGAGATTTTCGACAAAAGGCAGGTTTGCTGCTGGCTTTGAAATCTATTCTCCCCAATACCGTGCCGTGCAACTTGGGTTAATTCAAGGAGTTCCCTGTTCTCGCTCTTTACACTTTCTCTGTTGCTTCTTTTGATAAATTAACTTGCAAGCTGAAGGATGATCAACCTTTTAATGAGCTGACCACGTTGATACGGAGTATCTACCGATTGTCCCGTGTCATCGAATTCACTGGCTACTCTGATTATTCTTCAGCCGATTTTGACCTTTGGTGGAAGGATTATCAAAAGACTGTGTTTTCAGATCCTCTGGACCTGATTCTTTCAAAAATAAGAGATACTGTTCCTCCTATAGCACCAAAAGCAATTGAGGCTGTGAATATGTCTCCAACCAAGTCAATAGAACCTTCCAAAGGTAATTTGATTCTAATTTTCAATATATGTTTTGCTTAATTTTCAGCCTCCCATTTAACATCATACTCTCGCAGTGAACAAGAAAAGAAAGACTTCAGACTCTATTGTCCCAAAGAAAGCACCAGCAAAACGCGGCTTTAGAAAAGTAACTATTCGTTCCTCAGAATCTCCAGAGAATCCTCCAACATCTGATCAATCTTCAGAGCTCACGCTTCGAGCTATGATGAAACCGCGCCCACCAAAAGGTACTTCTCTTGCTCTATTTATGGAGACTAGCAATGTGCATATTAGCACTAACCTGTATATCTTCTGATTAATCCAGATACTCCCAAGACTAATCCATCCAGTGTTGCTTCCCCTGTTCCTTCTCCTAGAAAGGCTCTTATCATATCAACCCCAAATCTTTCACCAGTAATTTCTGCTTCTTTGATAGAAGTTACTGCTGAGTTGATTCAAGATCAACCTCCTATTTCATATTCCCAGGAAGGTATACCAACACAGGATACTTCTACCAATGTCATAGAATCTGAAGAAAATCTTCCTCTAACTTTTACTGGTAAATGTTATTGCCCTGTATTTGACTCGAAATTTCTATTTAGTTATCTGATATACATATGTTACAGCTGCAGCTTCTGACATACCTGCTTCTGCACCTCAAGAGATTCCAACGCCTGAAGAGACGACGATTCGGGAACCTTTGAGTGTGCAAGTGCCACCAACTTCTCAGATTATCACTGGTTTACCTCCCTCAACATCCTCTGCTGTGCCCAATCCATCTGCTCAGATAGAAATTTTCTCTTTAGCAGAACGGGAGGAGTTGGAAAGAATATTGGCAGGTACTCATCCCAGTTCTTCAATGACTGATGACTCCTCAGGGCCTTCAACTTTGTCAATGCTTGCCGAAGTTCCTAGGGAAGTGGCTAAAGCTAAATGGGAATAGCTCTTAAACCTATTAGAGCCTGGTTATGGGAAGTTGATCATTGACTCTAACAAAGAACGCCAAGCGAGGAATCTTTTCCAGGAAATATGCTCTGGCCATCCATCCTTTATCTTGTCGGATTCTTTTCAAGACAAGATTGATCTCTTCGCTGTTGACTTTGTAGATGTTGTGACTACAATCAGAGTCAATCTTGATCATCTTCCCCGTCTTCTCTTTGGAGAAAGCCGAGGACTGGCAATCCAGGATGAGTTAGCTAACAAGCGTGAAGATGCTCGTCTCTTCTACAATCATTTTAAAGTTGAGGCAAGCAAACTTCAAAGCTTGGAGGCCAGAAAAGCAGAACTTGAAGCAGAGCTGAGGATGGTGGATGCTCAAATTATAGATCAGAAATTCACAGTCTCAAACTTTTCTCCCACACTTAGACGCAAGATGCAGAAATGTAAGGAATTGGAGAGAGAGTTTGATAATACTATTGGGTTAGTTAGGGTTCATGAGAAGAAAAGGGCAGAGATTATGGATGAAAACTACATGCTAGAGATTAGATTAAGAGACTTTGTAACTGAAGCCAAAACCCTATTGGCTAATTGGAGATAAAATGTCGAAACCCTTTTGTTGGATTCCATTCTTGGTCTTCCTTGCATTTGCTTAATTGTAAAATATCCCGACAGAGCAAATTCCCGATGCTGTATATTCAAATGTAGGATATCCCGATAAAGCAAATTCCCGACGCTGTATATTCAAATGTAGGATATCCCGATAAAGCAAATTCCCGACACTGTATATTTTAGCAATCGGTAACTCAAACGTTCTACCCAAATGTCGCTCTTTATCTCTGTCTGGTTCTTTTGGATATCTGAATCAACTCAAAGATAACTGTTCCACTGCAACTTGCGTAACTGAAAGATCAAATGCTTACCTTTCCTAT